AAAGGAGTCCAGGAGGAAAGGACCACATACGATTTGGAGTTCCATCGGAAGGGAGATTCGAAGTATCCCAGGAACAATCCCACGTGAGTAGTCCGAAACCTAAGGAGATTGAAGCTAACCGGAAACGTTGTTCCAGGACTAGCCGGGAATTAAAAGGGAAAACCCACGAAAGGAGTCCAGCAGAAAAGGAGCACATACGATTTGGAGTCCCCATCTTGGAGTTCCACTGAAAGGGAGGCTCGGGGTATCAAAGGACGAGGAGAGAGCCTGGAAACGATCCGGATAATCCTGGGAAGGATTTCGAGATCCTATCGGAAGTGGCCGAAGAGGTCCTGGCCAATTATGCAGGGGCGAACAAATAACCGAGCCGGCTGGGAGGAAGAAATATGTCGCCGTGGAAACGCGATGCGATCGTGGAATAACGACCGACCAATTAGGGGCTTGCGATGGCCTTATTAAGCGTAATAAATAGCCGTTAAGGCGGTGGCTCGGAGCTTAAGGAGCGAAATGAAAGGGGGCCAGCTCGGAGGATGACACTCGAGACAAATCTCCTCTAGGGGCCGCTCGAAGCGCTATTCACGACGTCCCTCCCGTGGCTGGCCCTCTAGAGCTTTTTACTCCCGGGGAATTCTTTCGATGCACTTCCGAGGTAGTAAAAACCCGCTTAAGTGGCCCGGTCTCTCCTACGCGGGGCAGCCGCATTCCGTCTTGCTATCGGGGATGGTCGATCTTAATTATGCCTACGTTAGCCTGGTATATACTCCATTTGCGAGTGCCACGTAGACGACATACGTCCCCCTCGATTTCGAGCCGATTGCTCCGCGAGCGGAATTGGCGAACGCCCGCGTTACGCACTTTTCGCCTCGCCGGCCGATTACGATCTCCTAGTAATAAATGGTAAATGTCCAGGCGCCCGTTTAGCGAGGTCTTATTGCAGGCCGACATTTTCCACGGACCGATGCCGCGTGGCCTGGCACGTGCGTGTATTTGCATTCGCGCGTACTTTACGACGCCGTTAAACTGCGAACGGAAGACAACGCCGGATCGTTAACCTAAGCGCGCGGGCTCGACGCCGCCCTTTCCTTCGGATTTTTCTATTTCTCCCCCGAATCGCCCCTTCCGCAGGGGTGGAATCGCATTAAACGCTCTGCGGAATGCCCGGCACGTGACTCCAGGTTTTAAATATGTACGGGAATATGCACCCTTCCGCTGCACCGTTAAAAATCCCCCTCGGTGGGTGGTATACCCTCGTCTTGTCGAAGCTTCTCCCAATATTCAATATTTATGACGTACCGATTTTTCGCGTCTCTCCGCTCCGTCTAATGTTTCCATGCGTTAACACATTCTCAGTGTATAAATTATCGAGCGGTTTTCGACGGGGTGGGATTTAACCTCGGGTTGTACTTGGTAATTAATTCTGTCATGTCGTTTTTTATTTCTTAACGTCCGAGACGTCGAAGGACTTTTTAAGCCGTGCAAGATCTCCCGCCAAGTCGTCGCGTTGATTAATTCTTCCGCATTCGCCGAGGTCGAGTCGCGGAGTGAATTGTGTTCTTTATCAAAATCTAGTCCGAGCGTAACGAAGACGTATAGGGGGGGAAAGCACGAACCCTTGTACGCCCAAGGAATAAATAGAATGCTTTCGCGACCTAACGATGAAGAATAGAATGGTGCGGTGCGCCCGGAAGGTCGTAATGTTTGTAACGTACGTAGCACTATCGCGAGGGAAGGATCCATCATGAGGCAATTAATTTAACGATACCGGGTCTTCGAGGTATCCGATACGACGCGTGAAGCGCTCCAGGACTTAGGACTATACACGGGGGAATAATCCCCCTCTCTCTCGAGACGCGTCCCTTATCAATTATCTCCGCTTTTGTCAAGGCGAGTCCGTGCTCGGCGTTTCGAGGGAGCTTACGCGTTCGGCCACTTAATTTTTCCAAATGTAATCTCTCCTCCCCCGTCGTGGATAAGTGGCATTTAATTTGATATACCCTCGGGTATGTCAAATTAAATGCCACTTAGGGGTATTTACATGTACCCGGCGATAATGGGATTTATTAAATGCGCCGCGGTTATATCTTCGGAGTGTCTCAGCCAGTTCCTCTATTAGGATCCGTCTTGACGTAATTACGCATCCAGGATGCAACGAGATGCACCGGCTTATCGGAATGTCACCGCGGGGACGGAAAATCAATTTCGGGGAGCGGCCTCGCTTAAATATTCTGATTTCCCCGACTCTCCGAGTTCCGGAGGTCTTAGTTGGCCGTCGCGACGCCTCCTTTCGAGCATTCGGCTCGAGTCGACGCCCCATAACTTAATCTACCGCTGTAACGAACGAACCTTTCAGTTAGTAATGTCAAAGTTTCGCGGATGCGTGTCGGCCGCATCCGCAAGGCGGCCCTCTCGGGAGATGCGGCTGGAAACCGTTGTCGCCGCTCGTAAAGACGACGCGCATTCGCCGGGTTTCTATGTATAAACGTCGCCTTTCATCTTAGTACTCGCAAACCAGACGTCTAATGACAACGGGAATAAACGTCCCACGTCGTCGTAGAGCGGCGAGATACCAAAAGTGAACTCGCTGCGAAAATGGACCCTCTAATCCAGACCAGGGTCCATTCAGACAGGGTAAATAAATGTACCCTAGGTAATTTACGTAGCTTTTTACGGTGAATTCCTAGGTATTTTACATTACAAATTTCATACGTCATGTAAATTACAAGAATATGGGACTTTGTTTCGCACTGCAAGACCAAAAGTGAACTCGCTGCGAAAATGGACTCTCTAATCTCGACGAGGGTCCATTCAGACAGGGTAAATAAAATACCCTAGGTAATTTACGTAGCTTTTTACGGTGAATTCCTAGGTATTTTACATTACAAATTTCATACGTCATGTAAATTACACGAATATGGGACTTTGTTTCGTACTGCAAGACCAAAAGTGAACTCGCTGCGAAAATGGACCCTCTAATCCAGACCAGGGTCCATTCAGACAGGGTAAATAAAATACCCTAGGTAATTTACGTAGCTTTTTCGGTGAATTCCTAGGTATTTTACATTACAAATTTCATACGTCATGTAAATTACACGAATATGGGACTTTGTTTCGCACCGCAAGACCAAAAGTGAACTCGCTGCGAAAATGGACTCTCTAATCTCGACGAGGGTCCATTCAGACAGGGTAAATAAAATACCCTAGGTATTTTACATTACAAATTTCATACGTCATGTAAATAACATAAATATCGGACTTTGTTTCCGCAGTTCCTGATACGCTTAAAATTCCAAATTTTCCATGAAATGTTCTCAAAACTGGAGTATCGAAGCCTAGATCTTTTTAATGGCTCCCACCTACTTGCCATTATTTTTGATTCCTCTTTTTTTTTTATACTAAAATATTGATTCTCAAGTGATGTATACTTTGACCGCTTTGAAAAAGTGAGTACACTCGAGGGGCGTATTTTATGTAAAAAATCTCGAATGACGCGTCAACGCTGGATTCGGGGCCTCGAAAAGCCCTTTAAGCCCTTCGTGCGAGGAATGACATTCCCCTGGAAGATTTGGTTGACGAAGAGAGCCGCTGCTCTTGAAAAAAAAAAAGAAAAAAAACGGGAATAAACGAGCGAAGCTCGACATTTTCGTCCCGAGCGTTCGGGGGGACCGCGTCGACTTGGCGCGGAACTCAGCCGGGTTTCTTTACGGGGAGAATGTCTCGTCCTCGAAGTTGGGCACATAAAGGTCTGTTTAAAATGAACGTCCTTGGGAATACGGCGCCGTGTCGCGGAATGGTCACGGTAGTTAAGCTCAGCTTTTTGTCCCCCGCATCTGGCGCGTTTGAAATTCTTTCGCCGTCTCTTTTCGGAGTCCTCGGCGGGGTTTTTTCATATCCTCCCCCAGAGGAACAAGGCTCGCCCCCTACCTAGCGTTTTCATTAACTCGTTAGGATCCCCCGGCACCTGGGGAATCGCGTCGCCTTAATGTAAACGTACGAGGGATGTAACGAGTGCCCAAAGGTGTACCCACTGCGAGCCAACTTTTTAATGGATTCCCGGATACGACTTCGAGTTTTGACTGTCCAAAGTTCCCCGGGATCTCGTTACGGCCGCTTTATTAACGATTCTATTAATATAATTTATGCCCCAGGTCGCGGTATACTTAGATGAGTACCTCCTAGGTACGACATCGGGACGGATGATACGACTTGGGCAGACGTTCCACATTCGAAGGCAAACAAGTCTCTAAATCTAGAGATCGCGTGTTTTACCGGCGCATAAAAGTTCACCCTTGAATTACGTAGGCGTACCTGCGATAATTAGTTCCCCGTCGTTACGAGGGCCATTAAAACCGCCATTTCCCGAGGAAGATAACCGAACGCGCCTACGGTTGATTAATATCGACTATTAGCCCTCTCCCTCTTGCTCGCAAATTCGGGAGTTTTTCCTAATCATATCCGAAGAAAAGAAAAATGTCATCGAACTTAACCCTTTGAGTGATATGGGCGCACATATGCGTCCGACGTTTGGTCGAACGTCGCTAGCACGTCCTGAGGAAATTCGCCCATACGGCGACAGTACTTAGCACCCAAAGGGTTAACAGATATTCCTTAGAATAGGATCAAATGTCATATTTTTCTTGACTCAAAGAATTGGACTCGAACTCCAGTAACTTGGATATCTTAGAAATAGCCACTTCATTTGATTTCATGTAAGTGATTATTCTTTGAGGGAAGAAAATATTTCTTCGACTCGACCGATTGATGTTCCATTGGAATATACTGAGGAAAGGAAGAGTCCCACTTTGCGTCGGTCTCCCTCGATCTCTGGTCCCCTCTCTCGAGCAAACCAAAGGGTTAGTCCTCGGGGTCTCCTCGAGGTGCATATCGGCCGGACTATCCAGGGCCAGATGGCTCCGGAGTCCGAGAGGAGATCTCGAGCGCTCCTTTGTCCCCGATCCCATTGTTCTTCCATGTAGCCTAACCTCGGCGCTCTTTGTACACAGCCTCCGACCTGGACTGCATAAGGGCGCTGTTCAACGAGAAGGAGAAGGAGCTCTCGCTGGCGGTCGCCAAGGTCGAGGAGTTGACGCGACAGCTCGAGGAGCTCCGAGGTCGCCACAACAGCGGCGGCAGCCATCTGCCGACCCCTGCCAGCGCCGAACTCGAGAAACTGAGGAGAGAGCTCATGGTGAGTGCCACGTCCTCGAAAGAGAGGACGAAACCCCCCAAGAGAGGAATATTCCCTGTAGAAGGGGTCGCGCGTATCCAGGACTCCCGATCGAGGCCTCTCCGGCCCTAGAAAGCATAAAAAGTGGAGGGTACATCAAGACTCCCCCTGAACGCGCCGGGCGTCACACAGAGCGCGTCCTCGGGTCGCCTCCAGATATTGAATAAAAAATAGCCTGCCCGTCTAATGTGTGATATGGTAAATCGTTTCACAGTTAGATTGCTCTTCCTTCCTGACCATGTTTCCTATTTTCAGTACCGGAACAAGATGAACGAGCAGCAGAACCAGGTGGTGTCGCAGCAGAGACTCGCCCTGGCGCAGCGGCAGGCGGAGATGGCGTCCATAGATGCCAGGATAGCCCAGTTGCAGGGTCGGCTGCAAAAGAAAAGGGCCCTCAATCAGAGACTGAGTCAACAGCTCGGCGGGTCTAATCGCACCGCGGCCAACCCTGGCTTCGCCGACACGAAATTGGAGTTCAACACCGGGGGCAAGCCGCGACCCGCGGGCAACATCGCCGCCATCGAGCCCTACTCCCACATCCCCAACGACAACGACTTCACGCTCAACAAGAACGACCCCAAGTATCAGACCTTACCGTACAACACGAAGTTCGCGGTCAGCTTCAAGTCCGCCGAGGACGACGTCAACAAGAACAAGATCCAGCACAGCGCGAGCGCCTCGCAGATCGGTCAGAGGTCCTTTCAGCAGTTTGGCCACCAAATAGCTCATAGTCAGTCGCAGTCACATATCCAGGGTTGGTATATTATCCGGACCACCTGCGAAGAGGTCCGACTTAATGTAAAATAGGCTGTCGGTTTTTGTAATCGAATTGTCAATTGGGGTATATTTCTTTTTTGTACCCTGAGGTCTAATGATTTTCTTACTCTTGTTAATTTGGCTATGAATGGGGAAGAGCGACAAGTCAGGGTGTGTTAAGGGGTAGCGTGGGGGCACTTCATCACGGGAGGTTTGGAAGAACGAGGGTATGGTTAAAACTGGGGTTTTCAAACTCTTCGGAGAACTTCGTCTGGGTTTAGCTCGCTTAGCTCGAACATGGCGGAGGGGAACTCGCGAGCTCCATGTCCGAGCAGAGCTGCAACGCCGGTTTACGATTGATATAACGTAAGCGAATACGTCATGAGAATGCGAGGTACTCCATTTTCGGCGAAACGAGCTAATTCCCGGGTTTATGGCGGCGTTACGGCGCTCGGGGAATTTACGGGGAATTCCATAACATCGCGTTTACCGATTCCGTAAGATATCGTGCTGGTTGAATTAACTGCATTTATAGACTAGGTGGGTTTATCGACAGCGGGAGTGCGTACTAAGTCTATCAAAAAGATACGACGGATGTTACGGGACGAACCGGGTCGATATTCATCAGCTCCCGAGTATTGAATTTGAAACGGGAAGTTTATAGATTTCATCAACCCCGCGTCTTGTTTGAGCCGCATAAATTGGGCGGCCCCGAAGAGCGATGAATGTTGAATCGTAAAAATGGCGGAGTGAAAATTCATACAGTCCTCGATTGTATATCAAATTGGACAGGCGATTTTACTCCGAATCGATAATTCCCCAGGTCAGTCGCAGCCCCTGGGAACGAACCAGCAGCAGAACAACCCTCAGGGCTTCGGCGTCCAGACCGGGAACCTCCTGCTCAGCAGCAACAACAACAACAATAACAACAACAACGGCTCGGTGCACAACAACCTGGCGTCGGAGAATGCCCTGCAGCTGCAGAACCTCAGGATCCACGGGCACCAGCAGCAGCAACAGCAGCACAACAATCAGCAGCAAAAGCAGCACAGCTCGACGAACTCGTCCAACTCGAGTCTGGCAAGTGGTCAGTCGATTACACAGAATCAGAACCACCGAAATCTCCAGACCCACCAGAAGCCGGTGTCGAGCGTCGCTCCGAGTTTCCCGGTTAAGTCGCCGATCTACCAGACCTCCTCGACGAAGATACACCCCGTGATGCCGCAAACCCTGAGTCTAATCGGGCGAGGCCACCCAGGTAACCAAGGGTACTCGGCATTGAACACGCAGAACAACAACCAGCAGACCACCGGCAGCCAGGAGTCGCAGAACTACTCCTCGAGGCACAACTATCCAGGAATGGGGCAACAAGGGGTGCACGTGCAGACCAGTGGTCACCCTGGGACGTACCAGCAGTCCCAGGGATCGCCGAACTTGGCGCAGAACTCGAGCCTAGTCGCCGCAGGGGGTCCGAATTTCGGGAATTACTCGGCACACAACTACGGTCAGCCGCAAGGCCAGGGCGGGCCGACCCCGGCCAGCAACAACCCCCTGGACCCGCAAAACGAGAGGCTGAAGTTCGACCCGGGGAAGGGGGAGAAGTTCGACCACCTCGTGCCGGGGAAGCACGAGCACCAGGTGAGGTACGACCCCCAGGCGGCGAAGCACGAGCAGCAGGGCCAGCAGATGAAGTACGAGCTCGCCAACCCTCCCGCGAAGCACGACCAGCAGAAGCACGAACATCCGATGAAGTACGAACATCAGGGCTTTAAACACGAGCAACACCCGGGGAAGTACGAGCACGAGAGGGTATTCAAACACGAGTCGCTCGCGAAGTACGATGGAAATGCTAATGGCGCCCTACTCAGGCAGGATGCTAAGTACGAACAGGGCCAGAACAAATTCGTCGACCATCTTGCCGCGAAGTACGAGGCGAAGCACGACCATGCCGCGAAGTTCGAGCCCCCCTCGAAGCTCCCGGACAAACCGTTCGACTACGACAGGACGAAGAGCGACAACGAGAGGAAGGCCGGGTTTCCGGAGATGAAGACCGAGGACAAAACCAAGCCTGCCCTCCCGCCCAAACCCAGCAAGCCCAATCCTCCCCCCAGGTTGACCCACCATGAGAAGGTCGAGGCTGCTGGCGAACTCAACGACGGGAAACCTCCCATTGTCGGCGGCTCGAGGTACCGTGAAAGAGTGACATTCCGCATTTTTCAATCCACAATGCCGCGCTAACGGTTCGCCGGTTTCCCCCTGGCACAATGCCCCGCTAACGCGTAATCCATTTCCAGCTGGAAACGCCGCTTGATGGACCGCCACATAATTTCTAGGGGAAAATAACCAAAGGGTTTGAAGGCTTGGAACGGCTTTTGGCATTCTCTAAAAAGCTCTACGCCGTTGAAAACTTTTAACTGATTATATTCCCAGCGCCTTGGAATTCATACTCGATGGGAATATAATGATATCTATGTGACAGTTCAATAATGTTGAGTATTTTTCACGTAACGCCGAATGACGTTAAAAAATTGCGAGGGTCAGTGCGCGCCTGTGACGTCACCTTAGCGGGGCGGTCTCATGGAATTTTGAATTTCTACACCTTGTGTGGGAGTTATATTTTGGGTGGGTGTTTTTAACAGTGTAGAGTAATGCATTGTATCTCGGTAGATGATTTTCTTGTACGAGTACTCGGGTACTCGACTTTATGATTCGGTTAACAACAAACTCGGTCTGGCGGTCGTTTCGCCCTCGAGTCACCCTGGCCTCTTTCCACCGATCGGCGTATTTCAAGGGAGGAATCGAAAAACGTTTACCGGGTTAATTATAAATGTTAATTAGTCCGCGATCGAATTGGCGAGTGAATCGCAGCCTGTCTGAAATAATAGACACCGAAATAGAACGGGTATGGCCGAGAGACAACAGAACGCGCACGCTAGTAAGTGCGGGGTCTCTGATTGATAGAGACGAGAGTGCGTTGCCTCTTCTAGATCGATCCTCGAGTCGATCCAAGTCTTCCCGACCTGGGGCAACGATTTCCATTTCTCCGTGGCGAGCCTTTAACGTCGCGTGGTCCTCATTACGTGAAAATCGCGGTAGAATTTTCCGGGATTAAAAACAGGGAAAAAGAGAGCCTACTGATAGAGAGAAAAGTGCGTTGCCTCTTCGAGATCGAGTCAACCCGCGAGTAATCTCCTGACCTGGGGCAACAGTTTACGTTTCTCCTTAGCCATCCTTTAACGTCGCGTGGTCCTCATTACGTGAAAATCGCGGTAGAATTTTCCGGGATTAAAAACAGGGAAAAAGAGAGCCTACTGATAGAAACAAAAGTGCGTTGCCTCTTCTAGATCGATCCTCGAGTCGATCCGAGTCTTCCCGACCTGGGGCAACGATTTCCATTTCTCCGTGACGAGCCTTTAACGTCGCGTGGTCCTCATTACGTGAAAATCGCGGTAGAATTTTCCGGGATTAAAAAACAGGGAAAAAGAGAGTCTACTGATAGAGAGAAAAGTGCGTTGCCTCTTCGAGATCGAGTCAACCCGCGAGTAATCTCCTGACCTGGGGCAACAGTTTCCGTTTCTCCTTAGCCATCCTTTAACGTCGCGTGGTCCTCATTACGTGAAAATCGCGGTAGAATTTTCCGGGATTAAAAACAGCGAAAAAGGGAGCCGAAGGCGAGGACGGATAGGTTGGATTTTTTCTCGAGGACATTCCCGAAAGAAATTTTTTTTTAATAAATAGCGACACGATAACGTTTAACGAGTACCTCGTCTTCGACTCTCCCGACCGTTCCGATCGTCATTGATATATTTCTGTATTGTTACGTTTTTCCTGGGTTTCCAGGTCCGATAAGGAGGAGGAGATCCCGCCGATTCCCACGTCGGAGCCTCCGGAGTCGCCAACGGAGACCCAGGTCGGCGGTCATCGAATCATCAAGGCGCGACCTCTGACCCTGAAGAAGGCCCCGCTCTCGGAACAGCCCAAGCTCCGTTATGCGAAGTCGAACGTCCACGTGTCCATAAATCGGCGCATTGAGATGCCCCCGGCGTTCCTGTTCCCGGAGACCGAGATTCCTGCGGATCTTATGCAAACGGAGCAGCAACAGCAGCAACAACAACAGCAGCAGCAGCAGCAAACCCAGCAGCAGCAGATCGCAGACGTGACGGACAGCAACAGTTGCAAGAAACCGGTCCCTGTAGCCGTGCATCCTGAAGAGAACGTCGCCAACGACAAGCTGGAGGACTCGGACATCGTGGACGCGTTGAACGTCATCAACATCGAGGACAAGCTGAAGATCAAGGATGCCGATCGCAGGCCAGAGGGCGAGACGGAGAACAAGACGACGGCGGACGTGATCAGGCGGAAGAAGGGCAACCTGAAGTCGACCACCGGGAAGGCGAACCTCTCGAGGAGGGTGTCTTTCGATCCCCTGGCCCTTTTACTCGACGCAAGCCTAGAAGGCGAGCTAGAGCTCGTCAAGAAGACTGCCAAGGAAGTCGCCAACCCCAGCTCTGCCAACGACGAGGGCATCACTGCCCTGCACAACGCCATTTGCGCGGGTCACCTGGAGATCGTCAAGTTCCTCGTAGAGTTTGGGTGCGACGTCAACGCGCAGGACAGCGATGGATGGTAGAGCCGTTTTCCTTCTATTTCTCCTAATTTTTCTTCCTTAAACTCGAGGCGCTTTCCTGGCCTTCCTGGGCAAGAGGAGACTTCCCGGTTAATTAAAGCCCTGAGAGGCACCGTTCCCCGTAGTCGGTCCCCAACTTTAACCTTCCCTCGATGCCTTAGCTCTCGATTAATAATTCTTTCCCACTCGCAGGACGCCCCTCCATTGCGCCGCCAGCTGCAACAACCTCGCCATGGTGAGGTTCCTGGTGGAGCATGGGGCTTGCATTTTTGCGACCACCCTGTCCGACCACGAGACCGCCGCCGAGAAGTGCGAAGAGGACGAGGAGGGCTTCGATGGGTGCTCGGAGTACTTGTACAGTGAGTTTGTGGACTTTTCCTCACCTTGTTCGTCCTCTTCTTGTGGGAGCGTTCTAATGCTTCTTGTCCCCCAGGTGTACAGGAGAAATTGGGCATCATGAACAACGGCCAAGTCTTCGCGGTCTTCGACTACGACGCGCAGCACAGCGACGAGCTCTCCCTGAAGAATGGAGATTCCCTGGTGGTTCTTCGAAAAGGAGACGACAACGAGAGGGAATGGTGGTGGAGCAAACTCGGCCACAAGGAGGGCTACGTGCCTCGCAACTTACTAGGCGTAAGTTTTTAATTTCCTATTAGATGGTAAAATAATTAATAGGGGAGACGCGTTATCGAGCTATCTCGTGCGTACCTTGGTAACGATGGTTGGCTTTCCTTCCAGCTTTACCCCAGAGTGCAGCCGGCCAAGGCGGACTGAAGATCTTCCGTATCTGCAAGCAACTAGTAATATCCGAACATTTATCACCACAGTATTCAATTTGCAGCTTTATCGTTAGGTATTGTAGATTAGTACGTTATAAATATTATTTTATTTAATGACCACGCGGGTCACGCGTCCGTGGAGAGCGCTAAATTCGAGGTTTTTTTTTTTTGTTCTCAAAGTTTTATACGATTAAGCTAGCGGGACGTCGACGGTCGGCTCCGTGCCGGGAACGCCTCCGTTCCTTCTCTCTTCTTCCTACCTTTTTTTTTTCCTTCTTCGTTCTTTTAATTTCAAATTACGACGCCCCATAAATCGTTCCAACCGAGCCCGTACGCGTTATTATACAGTGTAGCCGCGCGCGAAATTATTTTTATTATCTCCCTGTAGCGTATGCAACTTTTATATTACAGAACCGAAGCTTGAGAGAGAGAGAGAGAAATAGGGGGAGAAGCAATTGCGTTACCTTGCGAGACTCGCTTGGGATTAAGGGGACGTGAAAGTCACATCCGAGAAGTCGATCGTTCATGTAACTTTTCTCCAAAGAAGCTGTACCGAATCGTTTCAGACTTTGTAACATGAACACGGAGGCTACAAGTAAGGCTCTGGCACTCATGAAATTTCACTCTTCTTTATTATAAAGAATTTAAAAAATATCTATGAACAAATTTAAAAAAAAATGGAAATTTCATGGGCGTGAGCACTTTCGTTATAGAGTTCATATTCACGTTGTAAAGTTGAAAACGATTCGGTACACCCGGTTAGGAGAAAAGTTTCATAAACGAGAAGTCTCCGATGCCACTTTCGCATCGCCTTAACCACGTAAGGATTATTCTTCGTTTCGATCCTTTAGATCTTGAGGCCGACAGCCAGGAAGTGCATAAAAATAGAGAGCTGGATGACACGTTCGGCTCTGTATTTATTATTGTAACTTAGGCGATATCGTCGCAGGAATCAATCGGAGAAAATGTAGGCCCAGGATATTCTGTCGAGGAGTTGAAGAACGCGCATCTCGAGGAAGGGACGCGCTTCGTCGAGAGCAAGGGTCGGCCGGATTTGCGCGACAATGGAGGACAGTCCGATCCGAGTCTTACTTCCGCTGATCCTTCGAAATGTTCACTTTCTTTTAGATTTTAACTTGCCAAGCATATACTCTGTACATACTGCGCGTGACCAATCAGTACCCGCGGATATCGTGTTCTCCGATTCCGGCGCGATCGGGACCTTTCGCCCATTGCGACGTTGTAAACTTTTTAGATTTGTTTCACCTAAACGACCTAGTTTAGATGAAGTCAGATTTCTTTTGTTCCGTACAAAACACCTCTTGTTACGTTTTACTGCGAGAAATTTTCCAAGTCCGACCGAGCGCCTTGGACTTTGAAAATGTTCCTAAAGGTATATGTATTCTAAGCTTGCCAATATGTATATTTTTAAATCCCATCCGGGCCGTTCACCGCTGGCTCGAGGATCCCTGAAATTTCGGTAAAGATTAGCTCTTCCGTCTAGAGAAATTTTTTTTTTCTTAGGCCGTAGCGATCGATACGTAGATTCTAATTGCGTTGTTGTATAAGTAGACATCACATTCTCATTACACGCGACACATAACACGGTCACGGGCCTGACGGAAAATATTGATTACTGATAAATGAAATACGTGCCTTTAAAAGTAATAATGACGACATTATGTAAAAGATTGCACGATATATTATGATGAATAAATTGTTTTTACTAAAACTTATCCATCGACGAAGAGAATATGTTTCCTCTGCGAAGGTTAATTTTCTGAGATAGTGATAATGTGGCTTACGGGGTACAATTATGTCATCGGAGGGTGGATAAGTGTACGAAGGATGTAGCACACAATCGTTTATTTTGTGGAAAAATATGGTAAGTGGAACATACTCTGGAAACCTAAATATTTCAGTCAATCGCAGTGGAGGTTTAGACGAAAGTAAACTACAGCGTGCCAAATATTTCCTGGCATTCGAAAACTTAAATTGCTTTCTCTCGTTGGGATTGTCTGCGTACTAAGATATAATGATAAGTTGATCATGGATGTATAAAAATACAAATTCATTCTGCTTATTAGCGCACCATTGGGTTACTTACAAAGTGTACTTCATTTTATAGAGAACCTGAGATCCGCGAGCTTAGTGAACATTTCATTAAAGATATTACGGGATATCTGTACAAAATGTAAATCACAGGAACAAGTCAAAGAAAACAGCTACATAGGTTTTAAACATGCCGAGAAATAAACCATGCTCGTGCTATAAAACCTTATATCAGAAAATATAGTAGAACATTTCTCGTAGTCCTCGTTTCTCCGTAGAAATGTATATCTAGAGAGATAGAGTCATAAATAACATCTGACTCCCCAACGTCTAACATATATAAAACGAATTAAAAATATATATGCATTATTACATATATATTATGTTTCCGTACTGTACGAATTTAGTGATCACCCCGTTTTGCATCTTTGATCAATTTCAAACATACTGTCAGATCTTCACAGTCCGCGATCATTGTTTCAAGTCTGTAAAAGGAATCCAGTTCGATTAACATTCGGTTGCAAAATCGCGGGCTACGAAGGATGGTAAAAAAACTCACTTTTTGTGATACGCATCTAGTGTCGACGTTACAAATGTACCGCTTTTAAGAGCTTCCATGCAGAATTCTGCCAAAATTTTGAAACATCTTCGAGACGTATCGTCAGAACCTTGATACTCCCATTGTGGTAAATCCTTAGTAATATTCCATGCTGCGAAGACATACTGCATCACTGCTGTCCAGTGTTCAGATTCCAAGAGCGTGGTACCTTGTTCTGTCACAGATTTCTGCGTGCAAGAAACATGCAAGACTTGATTAACTTAAAGCCCATTTGTTTAATTTACCCGAGAAAATGTCATTCGAAACCTTCACTCAAGGGTCCCGAAGAGTAGCTTGCTTGAAATAAAAAATTCATCATGAAATGTTACAAGCATTCAACATATTTCATGCTAATATACCTGGTATGCATCCAAGTGAATATATGCTCTGCCATAGCAAGGCTCGTCCAAATCGGAAGATCCTACAGTCGTGTGAATATTTTGTCTCAAGATGTTCAACCTTTCCCGTAAAGGATGGATATCTGCGATGGGCATCATATTTAGCAAAACGTCTCTTAATTTTTCATTAGTCAATAGACCGTCTTCCTGCATCGAGACAAGGTCCATGATCATCTTTACAAGTTGCTCGTGACTAAGACCACGTAATCCTTTCACTAAATTTCGATTGAATTGTTTCTGGGAAGAAGAATCGTTTCCCACGGATGTCTGGCACTCGGAAGTGGGTTTCCTTTTTTCGGGAGTAGCCAACTGAGATTCTGCACTATCACCCAATAAGAGTCGTTTCCTCGGTGTATTTCTGAGTAATGTAGACTTCCTTGGACTTTTGACTGGAGTTCGATCCCTCGAGCTCAGACTGGAAAATACAATTCATTCAATACCTTATTAAATAAAATATTTGTCATATTTAGAAGCTACTACTAATTACCTGAAGAGACTGTCCCGTTTACAAGCATCGACATCTGGAGACCAAACGATCGTCTTTCGCCGACGACCACGTTTCTGAATTACAAGTTCATCTGGACTAAGTGCTGGACTCCACGAATCGATACCGTGTCTACTATTAATAACATTGTCCATTGCATTAACTTCTACAGAAATAGCTTCTCCTGTAAAAACAATATCAATAATTAAAACAATTTGTACAAAATATTTTCTCTTTAACTCATAAGAATAATTACCAACTACAAAACATACCAGGTGAACCTGCAATGCTTGTCATGTCTGGAATTACTGCTAACGCCTGACGTCCAGATCGTCTTCGCTGTACATCCGATCTACGTAAAGAATCTCTAGTAGGAGTACTCATTTTCTGTGAAAATTAATGAAATCTTGTTACATTGATAGGACTTACGGTAATGAATAGAAAAGAGAAAAATTAAACAAAGCCAACGTTATCAATATTCACATGAATGAGGTTCGTATGAGTTCGAAATTAGCGTGAACATAAAACACAAAATACACCCTTCAGTTACAACGCAACAAGTAGTTCTTAACAATAAGTGATAGCAGTAACAATACCGTAAATACTTGCTGAGCATAAATCGAACTAGTCTGTCATGTAAAGTACATGAACGTAGTTTTCTCGTTGCAGACGACTAAGTCGCGGTTAATAATTATTATCGCCAGCCATAACTGACTTATTTCTCACGAAATTAACGATATTTTACATCACAAAATTAACAGGTAACACAATTCGACAGATATAAAAAGCGGGAATTGGTTAGGTGCGTCACTCATGATTTTCGCGCGCGTTCATTGGTCGAACATTTCTATAGATCATCCACCTACGAGGTTAACATAAAGCGAACACAGTGCCCTCTAGCGAAGGCTCACCAAAGCATTAAAATAAGTGCGCATTAGAAATATGAACACGTCCCAATTCATAGTTACCTCTGAAACAAGTGAGCACATTCATAACCGTCTTTTTATTCTCAATGACAAACGAAGAAACGGGACTTCGTTTATGTCATTCCTGGTTGTTAGGTTAGTATGCTGAAATTGGAGTCAGTGAGGATTTTTAAAAGGAAACAATCATGGGAAAGCACGAAGTGGGGACGCCAAAGTACATCGCGAACAAGATTAAAGCCAAAGGCTTGCAGAAGTTGAAATGGTTCTGCCAAATCTGCGAGAAACAATGTCGGGACGAGAATGGATTCAAATGTCATACAATGTCAGAATCCCATCACCGTCAATTATTATTGTTCGCCGACAATGCTTCACGCTATATGGACCAATTTTCTCGAGAGTTCTCCCAGGGATATTTGAATCTCTTGAAAAGGCAATTCGGCACGAGAAGAGTCCCAGCTAATAGAGTCTACCAAGAGTACATTGCGGACCGAACTCACGTTCACATGAATGCTACTATCTGGCTCAGCTTGACAGCCTTCGTCAAGTGGCTTGGACGTACTGGACAGTGCGTCGTCGACGAGACTGAGAAAGGTTTATATATAGCTATATTTGTGCACCTTATTAGAATTTAATCATCGATGACAGTAATCGTAATCGAATGCTTCTTCTAGGCTGGTTCGTAACATACATCGACCGGGATCCTGAAACGCTGTTAGCTCTAGAGAAAAAGGCAAAGAAACAAAAGATGGACAAAGACGACGAGGAACGGACGATGGAGTTCATTGAAAAGCAAGTAGAAAGAGGTCGTCAAGAGATGGACGAACAGTCTAATTATAAGGTACCTCTGGTACGTCCAGAAGATGACGCACCGCTTATACTGGAGATGAAATTGAAGCCAAAGGCTCTACCAGTTCCTAAACTCGATACCATCTTTTCCTCTAAACTAAATCCGTCGAATAAACGTAAGCGATCTGACGAAATAAAAATTGAGAATGACGACAGTTACGACAAATTTGATATTCCATGTAAATCAAGTTGTAATAGTAAAAAGGAGAAGAGAGACAATAAGTCAAAATCGAGATCTGTCAGCAAAGAACCCATGGACGTGAAATTAAAAGACACACCTGCCACGATTGGCTGGTTGAGAAGTGGCTTAGTGGTAAAAGTGGTAACTAAAAGTCTCGGGGAAAAGTATTACCGTGCTAAGGGTGTTATACAGGACACAATAGACGATTTCAAATTTCTTGGGAAAATAAAGTTGACAACGCCTGAAGTAGTCGAGGGACATGTGTTGAAAATTGACCAAGAACATTTGGAGACTGTAATACCAGCCATTGGGAAGGAAGTACTAATATTAAAGGGGAAGTATGCTGGATGTACAGCGATTGTGCAAAAAGTGCGTGTTGAAGAGTACAGTATCGATGTCGAACTGAAAACAGGAGATATCGTGAAGAGATTACCTTACGAAGACGTTTGTAAATACGTGCATCGATAATTAATATAAATTCTAGGCACAGAGTACCTTGTAAAATACATTATTTCTAATTTCGTTGTGCCCTTTTAAAAGAGCACATACCATAAAATTCTTGAAGACTGTTGCTCAGATCTGAGTCCCAATTGAATCGTGGATAGAAAAAATGAATTTAAAGGAGATGTTAAAGAAATCCAATTTTTCAACAAGAACTTGACATAATTTTAAAACAATTCGAATGTTACAATACTGTATGATTTTTTTTCTATGTATTGATTGTAAATAAACGAAAAAAAACGATACAAAACAATATCCTCTTAATTTCCCTGTACTATGCGGCAGTTAAAATTATTGAATCTTGCGATAATCTCTAAGATATCCCTAATGCGGAAATGGATTTATTTACATCAATAGAACGCCTATGCAGATACACTTAACGTATACACCTCTTACAGTGTGCACATTCAATATACACAAATGTGTGGTAAATATAAAACATAAGAATGTACATCATTTACAGACCAGTTCAAGAGATAAAAAGTTGCAACAAAAATATATATGACTGTGTATAGTATATCGAACGGTATGGTTAACTCTTAACAAACAACACTCGCAGTTAGTGCCACTACTGGTATGTGTGTATGTGTACGCTGTTTAAATAATTGGCCCCTCGATACAGTATTGTTCGCCTTCTTGACCGTGTTAATAACTGGTTTTTCCTTTTCTGATTTCTTCATTTCACTGATATACCCAATAATTCAAAAATACTTAATTTAAGTCCTAACGAGTACTCTTAAATGTATCTGTACTTCCTAACTCTTATATCTGTACCGATCTGACCTAACTCGTAGATTCAATCCGAGTTGGCCTTGCCAACTGTTCACTCTTTATTGTTACACTCACGTAAATGTCACGTAATATACAGTTAACTAGAAAACATAAATATAATAGGTTACAGGGATGATCTAATTTACGCTTTCAAGTGATCAAAGTGAAGTTATGCAACACTTGTCTCAGGGTGATCCAGTAGAAATGTTAGATCTATTTCCTTGTAAAGTAGCATCGGTGAAGTCGAGCCTGCGATCCCAATTCGTGCTATTTTATTGTACATACAATGAACACGATTCGTCACTAAGATGACGCGACTTCCAAAATAAACTGCCACGAAAGGTAGAAGAATTTCACGTACTTTTGTACCAGTAATCGAGAACCGATTACTCTAAGAGAATTTGATGCATCAAATTCTACATTAGTTCGTAGAAAAAATGTCTAATATGCGAAAACGAAAAGTACCTACAGCTTGAATAGGCCGCTGAAACATTTCAACCATACTGCCTCGTTTAATAACCTTTCAAGTTTCAGCACTAACTCTTGGCATAGATTTTTTTTCTCACCAAACTTTAATATACACATTGTTACGTTATTCACATATCAAATTGTTGGGTAACGTAAACCTTAGAGTCGACCGCAGTGCCGGACAACACTTAAGGGAAAATATTTAAAAATATCTGAAATGTTACTTTCCTTACCACGACACAGCAATTTGAAGATCGCTCGAGCCAATATTCTTTAGAGTGCAAATACTCAATCTTTTTCTCTCGAGATTTGAGTCTTGTCCGTGATCACGGGTCTCAGGTAATTACAAACTGTCTAACTAAGTTCGAATCCAGCACCAGCTTGGATTGCGTAAAGAAGTTTCTCACGTAGTGTCTTCTCGTCAGGAAACTCAGGCAGTTTCAGTAAGTTCATGCAAGTGCTAGAAGTTGGTAACCGATCGCTACTGTCCACATGCTGGATACAGAACGGAGGATCAAGTTCCTGTGGAAATTAAAAGAGAAGGGATTAAATTTTAAAGACTACTCTAAAAGAATAACAAAAAAATAAAAGAACAGTGTTTTGAGCTCATACCTTGAATCCAAGTAAAGGTGGTCGACTGCAACTCGTGACGAACTTAAGTAGTTGGCCTTTCTGGGTGTCGTCAAACTCTTCAACAACCTTCCAGAATGCAGCGATGGTAGGATGCTCTAGAGTATACCCTCCGGTATAATTAGTATGCTGTTTGAGATCGTTAACGTCCACAGGAATTTGCGCCCCGGAGATCAGTACTTGCAGCTCCTTGTTGTTGAACATTTGCAGCCAGTCAAGAGGCACTACATTACCAATCCCTTGCCTGAATGCATAACACTGCGTTCTGATCTGTTTATTCAGTTTATAATCAGCCATCAAGTGGATGTACTCGATACGGTTATGATTTGTCACTGGAATATTAGCCCCGCTGGGTTTTAACTCGTCCACTCTCCTTTCACCAAGTTCATCTGATAGCACTGTAAAGTCCAATCCCAGATCAGTCACGTCACCTTTGTAACTCTTCAGGTAGAGAAGATTTCTATACATTATCGGATCCAGCGAGTCAAGATGATGCACGTCAACATTGGCCTGTCTACCAACGATCTTTGAGAGGAAGAACTCAGCGAAGGGCAGTTCGACAAGTAAATTCTCATACAAAGCCTTTCCTAGGATCCTGCCGATGAAGTAGTAATGTTTCGGAAAATCCTCCACCAGGAGGTGAACCGTAGGGTTGGGATAGAGCATATTGTCTCTGGTGAGCCGAAAGAAGCCTCGGTTGGGGTCGAAGCTTGTCTTGAGCAATTCCGACAGAAATTCCCTGAAGAGACCTCCTCCATCGACTCCAGCCTCGTTCAAGCCAGCCGCATTCACCAATTGCACGCGCATTTTTAACCTCAACTCTGATTCGTTCTCGGGCGCCAATTTCTCAAAGGCGTCTTCGTAGAGATAATTTCTTCTGACAGCTATTTCAATCGACGGTCCCTGCATGAAGTTGGTCAGTTCGCCTTGTTTCTCAAGCTTGTCCCGATAGATCAGAGATTGAAACACTATGACGCGATCGTTGAATGGTACCACAAACGGTACCTCCCGAAGAAGAGTCAGTGTCCTAACTTCTTTTGTTGAGAGTGGCGGACCCTCTTCCAAGTCTTCTCTCGTGAAAGCCCTCAAACCTTGGAACGGCACATAACCTCTCAGTCTCCTGCGGCGCAAGGTGAAATCCTGAGGTTTGTCCAAAGGTATCACAATGTTCGATGCTATCCAGTGGTTTTCAGGGCAATAACGTTTCCTCAGATCACGAGAGTGCAACTGACGCAGCAGGCCCACCGTCACTTTAAACAAATGAGCCCAAGTTTGGGTGTATCGTTGTGTCTGCATCGCTACCACTGAGGATACGCCACGCACTGCATTCTTGTAATTATCTCTCACTGTCGGTCTGGTGTCTGGAAATGCGAGCTCCACTAATCCTAGACATACTCCTTTCAGATGACTCGACAGCGAGACTAGAACCGATGTGGTAAATGGCATCGTCTGCTGTTTCTGGCACTCCCACTTATCTTCTTCCTCAACGAAAAATTCTGAATCATGCAGGGTGGCAATGAGAAGGCTGAACAATGAACAAAACACCGCCAGAAGAGGAACGATCCTCTTGGTGTCTTCTGGCGACAAGGCGATTCCACGGGATATCACTTGAAGGAGCGGAGTGTCACTGCCGAAGAGGGAAGTTTGTCTTACCGACAACAGAATCATCCACAGGTTCCTTAGGAAGATCGGTTTAAAGGCCAACATGTAGAGAAGCTTGTACTTATGGATGGCGAGTTTGTCGGCAACGAGAAGGTTATGACAGATCTGGCACAGTGGCTGTAGCAAGGCCGAATCCTCTGTTCGATCCACCACAGAAAGGATTCCCTGCACTCGGTGATCAGCATTTATCATTTCTATACAGTCCGATAGTGCATCGGATTTTTCCTCATCGATGGTTTCCATGTCGGTATCCCCATCGGAGTCCTCTCCATTGTCGGTAGGTTTTTCCAAGTGGGGTGGAGAGATAGCAAAACTCAATTTCGCAAACACCCTGAGGTATTTTATTAAAGAATCCTTGCAGGCTCCAGAGGCTGAAGTCAGAATATTTTTATGTTATGACAATATCCACCTGGACAGCATATTGTAAAGAAAAATAAAGTATCTACTTACAATATTGTATAGGCTCTAGTAAGAGAACAGAGTATAGCAAGTATGTCGTAGGTTCCATATCAAGCCTGTCGATGCAGTCAATCAGCTCGGCATAAGGGAAATCTTTTGGCTCTGACAAAGCGGGAAGGATGAACATTCTGACAGAATCAGACATCTTTGGCGAGAGCACACTTGCACAGAAATTACGCAAGATAAGCACTGAGTACTCGCTGTTACAGTCCATGCGATGAATCAGATCCAATGGTTGCTTCATCATGTCTAGGAGGCACTTTGCCAATGGCGTTGGAGGAACTGATGTACTCTCGAGCATAGGAGGTACTTTCTCATCTACTAAGCATTTAATTTGTTGGAAGTAACCATTCGCTGCTAGATAAATGTATACATCTTCCAGGTATCTGTCTGTTTGTTCTTTCAGAATTTTCTCTACTTCCTGTCGCATGGTAAAAACCTCCAAAACCCTCAAAGGTATTGCCAATGAATGAGTGCTTTCAGAAGATGACTTGCCAATGCTATATTGCATGCACAAGCGAAGGACCCATCTAATGATAAAAAAAGAAATTGTATTACTATGAACTTTGCAGTATTAGAACATGCACATAACGTAACTGAACATACCGTAACCTCCAAAACCAGATAGTTGAATGAGTAGTCGACTGCTTAATCTCTTCATGATTCTTCAAAAAATGCTGAAAGATCCAAATTAGCCGATTCCCATCCCGTGACTGATTGTAAAAGAACATCAACTTCCGAATAAAAGGAACTAATTCCTGTAAATTCCTAAGCTTGCCACCAATAGATTGGTACGCAGTATCAAAGTTATGTCTTTCATGCTGGTGTACCAGTTTTCTCACTAGAAAACTACGCACGTGCGCTTGTACTTTGACAGCTGCATCATGCTGCCTTCTGAGTTGCTCTCGTTTTGATCGTTCATTTTGAGCATGTTGTAGCAACGCCGTTTTTTCGCTCCTTCTGCTCGCCCCTGCGAGATTTTGCTGTGGCTTACGTCTGTAATCTCCTTCAAAACTATACATGATGCCGTTTCTTGATAAAAACCAGTTTATTTTTCTTTCTACTTGATTCTTTTACATTTCTCTGTTCCCAAATATGCACTCATTGTTTCCTTTCAGTTTACTAGTAATCATTTCTTGTGCATACATTTAAGACAAAGCAGAACGTACTCGACCTTAGTAAGTAGTACACCTGCTTATTAATTGTGTGTAAATCTGTATATCACGTACTACACATAGCCTAGACAATAAAAAGATGGACTTAACGATTTATTATCTATACAGAGGACTCATTATATAAATTAATATACTCCGAAATATAGGCATTACTTCCCTCGATCATCGGACGAAATTCCAATTTTCATTTAGGCTTCATTAACTTAATAAAATTAATTGTATCAAGAATCAAAGGTTTTAGTTAAAAATAGCCTAACCTGCACGTACGATTGTTACAAAATTTAAAACATTCTACGAACCCACACTTTACTACAAAAAGATCAGAGATTCAAAAACTGCCGATTAATTGTGGTCATTAAGATTGTACCTTCTAGGCATGTTCTTCCTAATTTCCTTGAAAAATCTCGTGTCAAATGTGATCTCATGAACGACGAGGTTCAACGTATTAGTTTCTTCTCCTTGTGCAAGGATTCAAGTTTTGTCAAGTCTTTACATAAATGCCGTGCTTTTAACCTGATACACTCGAATTCTACTACTTCATTCTCCGTGAGAATGAAAAACAAGAATAATAAATTACACTCCGTTCGCATTAGGCCAGTTTACATCGTGACATTCGGTTCAAGATGGCATAAAATAAAGAGTAGCAGAGAGTGTCCATAACCCACGTTTATCTACAAGCCTTGACCACCTAAAGGCGGCATACCGAAGCTGTTCCACCCTTAGTCGTAGACAGTTCGTTACGCGGCAAATTCAAATGCTACCTACAGGATTCGATTACTCTATAACACTAGAGATGAGTTGGGAGAAAGTTAAATTGTATTTATTACGAAGTGACTGTGAGCCCGTTCCTCGAGCCACAGTTATCAAATTATAAACATTTTGTTATTTATGGCTTCAAATGATCAGCCTCTTAGTAATGTATGAAACTGATCCATTAGAATAATTACAGTGGAACGCAGAAAGCATCCTCCGTAATAATGGTCACTTGCACGCCAGGAATATCTGTTCGCTTTGTCGACGGTGTTGGTAGGTTAACGGTGCAACTAATCTGCTATCTTTGCTCTTGTAATACTCATTAAAATCCAGCCGAACACTGAGCAACTGAAGAGACGCATCCTCTGCAGAAGCGAGCATTAGGAGGAACTTTTGTACTCGGTCCTGGAATTAGGAGGTAAGTTTCTCAAATAGTTCCACAACAAGGTAATCACCATTCTTTACCTGATACATCCTCGACAAGAATTTAAGTTGAATCGAAAGAGTGTTGAGGTACTTTGTGAAAGCTGTTTGTCGCTCTGCATTCTCTGTGTCATCACTAGTACATTTTCCCCACTGCTTTGTCTGTTCACTTGTTTTATCAACGAATTTGTCGATCCTGTTACGTGCTTCGTATTCCTGCATAGTTCTAGCTAAGAAGGTTTCCTCAAGATTTTGCAACTCCAAAATTGGACCATAGACAGAACGTAGATGATCCATCAGTTCCTAATTTATGTCGATCCATGTATATTGCAAGAATTATTGTTATAAAATATGCTAAAATAAATATTCACCTTAGATTCCTCGTCGAGTAGAGTGCCATGCCGTACTGACTCTACAAAATTCGTGTGTGCCGCAATGATTTCATCAAGGGACGCAGCCTGTCCGAGTTGTTTTGCAAACGTATCCCAAGAACATTCGATAACCTAAAAATGCTTACTATTACACCGATTAAACATTCATGCTGAATTAATAAATTTTGGTTTGCATTTAAGCGAAGAAATGGAAAAAACACAAAAATTAAATTGCACAGCCTATAAACAAATCAGCGTGCATGTTCATGTAAACTTACTTCAAAAAGGAAATAATACTGCATTTGATGCACCAGGTGTACCATACTACTAGTAATAAGATGAATATGATTCTGTATAGGTAAGACTTCGGGCATCTTCCTGAACATCTTTGCAGATGTGATCTGTTGATTCCAGATAGTCGATAGAATGGATTCCATTCGTTTAGCTCGCCACAGTGCAAAAAATACCGTTTGGTATGTTTCTCTACATGGCGCAAGAATCTATGAAAAAAGTTACATGATAAAATTTCTAAATAATGTCAGCATCCCGGAAATTGTAATGTGAATATTTACTGTTCCAATTGGACCCGCAACATTATAGTCTAAGACGAAGACGTCCCAACCAGTTTCATTTTCAGATGGAGCGAGGAACCTTACATCTAAACGTCTCTGTACATCTAATTCATCGAATTTCATGCTAGTTGCTCTAATTGCTGTCTCCAAAATTGAGGCGATGTTATGCGGATACAGGGAATTTGCTGGTTTTGCTAATTCAGGCCTGCAACATACAAAAAATAATAGGTTTATTAAATGACTACTTATTTTGTTATCGATGAAACTCACTCGAGTAAATGCATGAGATGCTGAACGAAATGACCCTGGCCGAGTAACAAGTATCCCTTGATTCCCTGTAAATGGTCCATAAGTTGATACTGCTTAGTGAGAACTTCAACGACTCTAGTAGAGGTCTCTTTATAAGCTGTGTTCATCATGGTCTGCAAACGCCCATCAGGATCCATATCAAAGAACGCATCGACTGTAAAAAGCAATGAGTGTTTAGGTGTTAAGAGGATTAAATAATTAATAAGTGATTGGAGTTACCTTTAAAGTCGTCTGCCCCATTTTTGAATACACTTGCATTGCGCTCTTCCAAAGGTGCAAAGTCTTTGCAAACTTCCCGTAGGAAATTAATACTCTTTCCAGTACCCAGTATTTGCCTGGCTTGTGACTTGGATATGAAGGAAGGAACCATCGCGTCTCTGACCTGGTACTTCTCGTGCCACATTCTTTCACCAGCCACATCTGCACAGGCTTCTACAAAGAACTCATTAAATGGATCGTCTAATTCACCATCTACGATCCATCTCAATAACATATTGCAAAGAGGGTCGCAGACACTTTCCAGAATTCTCTTCACTAGTTTTTGTACACCACGATCTCCATGATGGTTGAAAGCATATACTGCTGAAGCTAAAGCTCCACCTTTCCTTCCTTGACAGGCTCTGATAATACTTGCCAACCACTTTAAAGATTCCAAAGGATCGTATGCCCAAACATGTAGATGAGAGAGCGTTACGTTGTACAATCCAGATGAACTTTGTGCTCTAAACAAGGAAGGAAAGCAATGTCACTTTTTGTAAATTATTTAAAAGAAACGGTCTTCGTACCTATTGAGTTCCTCTTGTACGATGGCAATGAACCTATAATAATCAGTCAGTTCATGATTTAGCGCAGCAATGAAGCTTTCCACGACGCGACCAGCACCAGTCATTGACATTCTTTCCAAACCCCTTTTTATTACATTATATAAATAACCAAGTTCACTGAGCCTCAGTACTGCTTGTTTGTGTGATCTGTTCATGCTCACAGTTGGATCAATTTGAAATCCATAATTTGGGTCTAATTTGAGAATTCTTCCCTCAATTCCTTGGAAGGAGTATATCAAATCTTGAACGATTAAATCTTCAGAAATGCAGTCCTCGTTAAGTATCCTACTAGGACCACATATACTTGAATCTGTGCTCAGTGAGACTACTTGTGCATGAGTACACGATGTTTGAGATGATTGACCTGACAACAAAATTTGTAATAATTTCAATACGAGATTAATAAAAAATAATCCTTACTAAAATAGCCAGTTCATGCTGTACACAATAAATACAAATCAATACTCACCACTTGCAGGAAGAGGTGCAGATGTAGCTAAAGCTAATCTCATATCTGGGATTGAAAAATTTCTCTCCCTAATTTGGTCTGGCGATTGACCAACGTATAATAGAAATAATAGAATACTTATCCTATTTTTAAGTGGCTGCAAAGCGTACGGAACATATTGTTTACAATTAATAATATCGTTAGACCTTAGTATGCATTTTAAACATTTTTCCCTGAAATATTTACCCCATCTTTCAAGTTATTATGAAGTTTATCAAATTGTAGAGCATCTTGTAACGAGAGTTTGTCGCGAATAAGGCTTGCCACTGTAACTTCATCCTCTCGTAATGTTTCCGAGCCTTGTGCCGAAGACAGTACACCCAGCGATAGCCGCAAAAGTTTTCGTATTACTTCTGCAAATTATAAAGACCTTAATTTTAGAATTAACTTTTGAAACTCTCCCTCCATCAACCTGCATGATTATAAATCAAGTGCAATCTAGAGCGGGAGAATATACAAACAACCTAACCTGGCTTTTGTTCACCACATAACGATACAACTAATTTCTGCACCAAGTCAGCGATTGTCTCGGCTTCTGTTACACTCATCATTGTTCTCAGTACATTCGAAAAATATGTATCAGTTATGTCGAGTTGAAAACAGTACAATGTACATCATCTCTGCATGATTTTAAGCTGCAAGATGACACTTGACGCTATTTACGTGCGCGTGCGACATGAACAGCCAGAAACAGCATTGCCAATATAAAAATGTTAATAAGTTAAGTACTTTACACCATCATCAATCCCCGCTTGTTTCTCAGGAAATTTTATAATAAACACCTGTGAACACGGATGATTAAATAGTACAAATAAAAAATATGCTTCTAACATTGGCAACGGAACATAAAAAGTGTTTACTCTTACTAGCAGAATATTCACATCAAGGTAAAGAAATTAGACAGTTGAATAATAATCTGACTTTTGAATTTAACAAGCACTGTTTGAATAATTTAATCACACATAATATAGTATTGCAGGACTTTTGTAAATTAGTTCTCGACTATGTACGCAAAGGTCCCAGTTTCAAGTTATACAGCGTTGCTGCCCGTAAGTAAAAAACAATATCGTGACTGAATTAACGAGTTGACATAACTTTCCTCTATACATGAATTAATTTAATTGCTTGCTTTCAAGATAAACTTGAAGTTACACCAGAAGATATTAGAGACAGAGTTGAAAGTTTGGTGTATTTATTGGCAGAATGTTGTAAATATAAGGTAAGCATATCTCATCTTGACATAAGAAGGGAAATATGTCTAATGGATTAACACTTTTCATTACAAAACACATCTAATAGTAAGAAATCGCCCTTTCTCCAGTTAACCGATAAGGATTTCACAGAGCTAGTAGCCTCGTTAGGTTTTACGGATGAAAAGGAAGCAGTACTTTCAAAATCATACACGGTTCTGAAAAAAGAACTCCTGAATGCTCTTTCCGCTTCGAGTTTAAAACTTCAGCGTTACCATAATTTAGAGTGGAGGTTCGAAGTCGAGGTACGTTTGTCAGAAACTTGGTTATTTTAATCTAGTAAAAATCATGAGAAATTTGCTACCACGTTTGGCATTTATTTTTAAGGTTGCCAAAAGATCGTGCCTTGACCAAGCCACCCCTTTAATAACATTGGATCTTGCTTTGAAGAACATCGAAGACAGTGACAAAGTAGAGCACGTATTACTTCAGACAGATCCCAACAACTTACTCCATTTAGCTCAAGAACTGGAAGGAGCCATGCAGGTGTGTCGTGGCCATCGCATTCGAAGATATATAAGAACTATGAAATAATGACGAACTAATTGACCCAATGGTAAACCCCTACGGAGTGTATAATTTCAAGTGTACCCCTGGATACCGTGCCTGGTAGTCAAGAATATAATCATTTTTTCATAAAAATCGTGAAAAGATGTACGTCCTAGAATGCGAACCACCGAGTCAAGGGCAAGATTCCAGCACACCGACTTACTTCTCCAGATACCGATTACGTAATTAAAATCTGTACTGTCGAGCCGATGAGACCAAACGAGATTTAAATGTCGAATGTCATCCGTGACATCCGAAGCACTGCATCATGACCGATATCTCTTGATAGAGTCGACTCGCCAAGATATAATATTAAAAGCACCGTCGAGGAACCTTTTCAGGAAGTATAGACGATCTCATTTGAATATTTTATCGGATCGCTTTGTTATGCAGCTTCTTTACGTCCATATATAACATGAAGAACTCGGAGTCGCCCTACTGTAGTAGTCCTCAATACTCCATGCAAAGTGTCCCGATGTTCCGAGTCTCTTTACAACCCCCATAACAAGACGTTCTCGCTTCCTCCATAAAAACCGATCCCAAGGATCTCCCAAACGGGTGGCTCATCAAAGTGAGTACAAATCTAATCATACCCGCGTGCTAATAAATATCATAAAATGTTCACAAAGTTTAGAATAAGGCAAGGAACGAAAGGACTGCAGAGGGAAAATGTGTAGCTGTCCACATCAAATGGAAACCCTGACCAGGGTGAACGAGAGCCTCGTCCACACGGTGGGCGCGGTTGCGATCGTCTCCGATGTCCTCACAACGATCGGGCCGCAGTTTGCGAGACAATACATGAAATTCAACAACCACACCGTCGTGGATAAAGTGCCGCCCGAGATGCTACACTTAATAGACACTCATTGGTAGGTCCTTGATATCTCCCTGAGCACCTCCGGATAAAAATGATAAAAATGATAATAGAGGAAAAATATTAAAATGTTAAAAATAAAGCCGACTCTATTTTTCCCATCTTCCAGGTACCAGTTTCCACCGATGGACCCGATGTGGCACAAGATACTCGGCCTCGTGATGATAGTCCTCGGTTTCATGGGCTGGTTTGGAAACGGAGTCGTTTGTTACGTATTTTTGCTGACACCTTCCCTGAGGACTCCGAGCAACCTCCTCGTGGTGAACCTGGCGTTCTCCGACTTCATCATGATGGTCATCATGTGCCCACCTATGGTTATTAACTGTTACTTCGAAACGTGGATACTAGGTAAATGAAAAGGTCGGCAGGTAATTTTAGTAATTTTGTCTGCCGAGAAAGGCGTACTCAGAAACGTTAGAAACGGTCCATTCGGGCTGGTAACGCCGAGGATGTGACATAACGTCGTTTTCAGGGCCGCTGATGTGTGACATTTACGCGATGGTTGGCTCTTTGTGCGGTGGAGCATCCATCTGGACGATGACCGCTATCGCTCTGGATCGTTACAACGTTATCGTGAAGGTAAGAGTCTTCTTCCTCCGCTCTTCGGTCCGAAAGCTCTCCCCAACGCCTCGGAAAATATTTCCAGGGGATGTCCGGGACGCCGTTGACCATCAAAAGGGCTCTACTCCAGATTTTACTGATCTGGACGTTTGCCCTGGTTTGGACGATTCTACCGATGGTGGGTTGGAACAGGTATACCGGAAATAATCACGCGATGAATAAAATACAGAATAATTAGCACGCAACGATGTAAATAGCGGTATTAATATTTTTTATCTCATTAATTCAGGTACGTTCCAGAGGGTAATATGACGGCTTGTGGAACGGACTTCCTCGCCGACGACTGGTTCTCCAAGTCCTACATCCTGGTGTATTCCGTTTTCGTTTACTACACACCTTTGTTCACTATAATATACAGCTACTACTTTATCGTCTCCGTGAGTTCCGATTATCTGATAATTGGCCGTCGGGTAGACATTGAAATAAAAATTAAAAATACAAAATTCGAAACATACTTCAGACTGTAGCAGCTCATGAGAAGGGGATGAGAGAACAAGCGAAGAAAATGAACGTAGCTTCGCTACGCTCAGGTGAAAACCAAGGAGCCAGCGCAGAGGCGAAACTAGCGAAGGTAGTCGTTTTCTTAAGATCATTTTTCTTTTAATTTATCACGATAATCGATTATAATTTATCACGATTTCAGGTTGCTTTAACAACTATATCCCTGTGGTTCTTGGCGTGGACCCCGTACCTGGTGATCAACTATTCAGGCATCTTCAATAAATCTATCATTACACCCATGTTCAGTATCTGGGGTTCTCTGTTCGCCAAAACAAACGCGACTTACAACCCCATCGTTTATGGGATCAGGTGGGTCGACGAATAATTACATTCAATGCCGAATTCGGGGAAAGGGGCGTTAATTTAATGGTTTTGTTAAAGCCACCCAAAGTATCGAGCCGCTCTCAAGGAAAAGCTACCTTTCCTCGTATGCGGAGAGACGGAAGAAACTGCACCAAAGAGCGGAGCAGCCACGACTCCTGCAGTTGCACCTGATGCATCGTCTAATGCAACAGCTGATGGGAAGGCTTAATCTCGATAAAAAGAATTGTTAAATAATTATCTCTACACTATAAATTCCGTAGAACCCATATACATTCCGATTTCATGCACAAGTTTACCCAGGCTTGGTTTGTTTAAAGACGACACCGTACAGGAGCAACGTATGGTTCTGTAAATTATTTTTCATATTAACGCTCAACACAGGGCTAATGACATTAACAATCTGTTAAGACAATTCATGCGTTGGGCTCGACAACGTAAGATAACACGCCGAGCTGGTGATGTCAAATAAAAATGGCTACTATGTATTTAATAAAAGTGCAGTACATTTCATTTTCCACCTGTTCTTGCGGAGGGAGTTATGTAATACTTCGTCTACATACGGTAAGTAGCATTTAATGCGTTTAACACGTCGACCATATCTTATATGTTATACGTATTCGGTATTCTACGGATATAAATCTAATTGCACATCTGCAAATACTTTGCATAAGTTGCCGTTAAATACTCAATATTCTCTCGGAGAAGAGTACGGAGAAAGGTGTATTATCCGGTCGCGTTTGGTCGCGATAAAGGAACGCTCGCGTACTTGGCAAAGGAAGTAAAAACCGCGCTTCGACAGCGCGAACGGAGACGAACCGAGCTCGAATTCGATAGTTAGCGACAACGCGAGGACCGCGTTATCGAGGAACACCGTTACAACGAGAGATACGTACACAATGAATTTTTTTTTCTTATAACGACGAAGCATCCGAATCGACAAAGGGATCGAGATACTCGATAACTGAAATACAGCGAGCTCGTCCGAATAAGCGGAGGACACGAGATACGCGATCGGTTCTTACTTACTATTACCGACGCAACGTTTCCATACGTACACACACATTTTATTTTTTTCTCATTTTTATACTTTATAGTCGTCGTTAATGTTTCACGATGCAAACCCTTTTATTTAATAGTAACGAATGTATTTTTGTCGACATCCAGAACAGACCTTCGCTAACGGTAATGACAATGAGAATTAAGTACAGCGTCTTCTCCATGTACGTTGTGCACCTTCGAGCCAAGAGATTATTACAATACTGAAATATAACGGAAAAACCATGTCAAATAGAAATGGAATACACGAACATACCGAATCGAAATCCACGGGTTGTAATTCCACACGCTGGTGTCGGATAAAATACGCAAGTCTCAACGCGAAATCAGGTTTTAAATACGAGTACTCCCGTGACATCGGGTAAAATATTCACTAAGGATCACAATTACGTGGGAGCCGAGTGTACATATTGTACGGTAGCTAGATAGGTAGTAAAAGATCTTCGATACGGCGGCGCTCGACATCCGACAGCTGGCCAATTATCGGATATCCGAGATGTCAATTTTACTGCCAAATATCTTTATCAGCTGGTCCTCGTAGTCGTCGATGTTGCGCTTCATCAGCTCCATGCACGGCCCTAACAAGCGTTCGAAGGCTTCCACGTCCAAGACTGGAAAAGACACGTTAACGCGTAGAGAACATCTCTCCACAGTCCTGAGCATCTCTGTAGCGACTCTCTGCTGCCTTTAATATTTCCTCCGAAATTAAATAAACTACTCACATGCTAGTTTGACGTTCCCAACTGCATAGGCGGAAGCAGCGCGAGGCTTGTGCGTAACTAGGGCGAGCTCGCCAAGGTATCCTCCGGCAGGAACACGATTGATCTAGGAGATGACGGCGAGATTAAACCTCCTCTTGCCAGGAATACGCCACTCAAGATTTTCCCAGGCCCAATTAAAGCTAAGGGCGTCGCCGGGAATCGATACTCCGAATCCTTACCCTCCTTTTATCTATTATACAAGATATACGTAAAGGGGTATACCTCGACCTCGCGCCCGTTGTCGCCTAGAATCGTGATTCGGACAACGCCATCTTCCACAAAGTACATCCCGTCCGCGCTGTCTCCTTGTTTGATGATCCTCTCGCCATCGGCAAAGTGCTTTGGAACAAGTGCATCGGCCAAATTCATGCGCTCGTACGCCTGCGGAAAGGAAAAAAAATATATATATATATCAGAGGTTGCGAACGAGTCTAAATATTTTTCATCTCATTTCTCCGGACAGTCCCAATGAGTCGGTCGCACTTACCTCCAGTGATTTCAACATGGGTACTTTATTTATAAGATCTTCGTACATCTTCCGCTTTTTGTACGCCGACTTTAATAGTATTCGCCGGAACGTCTGTCTATCCATTGCCCATAACGTTCCAGGAGTAACCGCTTTAATAGTTGCCGCACGCGGCATGTTATATAGGAGAGCCAGCTCTCCGAAAGCTCCGCTGTTATCATATGTATGAATATGAATATTATTTCCAGTTTGATCCTTAACGTAGACTTCGAATTTTCCCCTGCAAGAAAGAAAGTCACCATGAGAGGACGCTCGTCGAGACGTAGAGAAGTTCCATACGAGGGTCCTCGTTAATTACCTTTCGATCACATAAAAATTATCTCCATCGTCGCCCTGACGAATGATATATTCCCCTGGTTCCACAGTTTTCTCAAACATAGCATCTAACACGTCAGCCATTTGTTCCTAGAAGGAAAAGTCACACGTCACTGACGAAAAGTAACGCAACATAGATTCAACGATTAAACCCAAGCAAGAGAGAAATCCACAGGTCTTCCTGAATGCATGATCCAGATTTCAGAAATGTGAATACCTCTTATATGCTCCGATACTCTAAATTACTCGGGCTTAAGGCGATGCGAAAGTGGCTACACAGAGATCTCGTTTATATATATTCATAGGTATTTAATAAATTTTGAAATAAATATGTAATTTCATGGATCTCGGGACCTTCCTTATAGCCTAAATATTCACGTTGCAATGTTTGAAGTGATTACGTACCCTCAGTTCGGAGAAAAGTTTCATGAACGATTGACCTTTCGAATGCCACTTTGACATCCCCTTAATATTCTACTTAACTCTACGAGGCGTAGTTTCCTACCTAGCTTGGCTTTGAGTTAAACTCTGGCTCGGTCCTATTCAGCGCAAAACAAAGGCCAAGAACCTAAGCCAAATCTATTTCTTAGGCAGAGTTTTACAAGTGAGCGCTACCAAGAAAGCCGAGTACCTACCGGTAGAGACTTTCGACAATTCGGATATTCTAGAACAGATCCATGCTCGGCCTTAAATGTATTTCGCGAGTTCTCAAGAGCATCTTGCAACATTTCGTTTGCGACCGCTCTGTAATCCGATCGGCATTTATCTAAGGTCAACTAGAGCTAGAGTTCCCTGCGACGTTAACGGAATTAAACTCGCCGTTTAATGTAATTACGAGTATACGGTAAATGGCATTTCCTCTTCACCTTGTCCAACGCGCGGAAAAGCAGAATAGTTTTGACGCTCTCGCTGAGCCGGTGCCGTTGTTCGTCGCTCTTTGGATGTACAATCTGAAAATGTTCAAATAATTCAAATAAAATCCCACCACTCCCTTTACCCAATATTAATTGAAATTCCCGATTTGACGTAGCGATTGGGAAATAAAAGAAATGAGTTTCAACGTCCACAATGGTATACCTTCGTTCCTTCTTCTTCCTCGTCCTCTTCAGGGTTGTAAGTTTCCGCGAAGACGCTCTTCCTCCGCGATGAGAATCTATCAACCGGCGGTTCTGGAATCAACGTTAATAAATTCTGTATCAGATGGAAATGAAATTATAGAGAGGGCTAATAAATAATACGGCATTACTGGGAATAAGCCGAGTTATCGTTATCGCGTGTTGCAGTCAATTGGACCGATCATTAATATCCCAAACTCGGTCTCGACAATTGAAACAACTCGAGATTTTTTTCCATCAATATTTCAGATACAATTCGATCACGCCTTTAAATTCTGTATTTCCTCGTGTATTCGAGGTCTCCTGTATCGTGCGATAAAGCACCGTTTCTTTGGAAAAAAAAAAAAAATGCCAATGCAATACCGAAGGGCTTACGTCTCCATCGAGAAGAGAATTACGCCCACCACGTAACATCCCCCTCGATTCCGAATAGATCTTATTGGAAACATTTATTTCCTTCGCCGATACTTTCAGAGGTATTGACTCGTAAGGCTTTATATGCCCCACCCTACATATTATCTATATATTATATAATCTACAGAGAATGGCGTAGAGCTCCGGCTGGCCGAGGCCCATAAACAAGAAGTTCCTTAATGGACACTATTTCAAGCGACAAGATATATATAAAAATATTATTTATCAGTACAGTGATAGCGATTACGTAACGACATCAATGAAACGTCCTGCCCGCTTCATAAGAGAATTCAGTATTAAAAATTAAGTACATATGAAGATCAAAGGCATACGTTAATCCTTCATGCCAAGAAAGTCCTTGCTCAAATGTCCTGAGAGAATCTGGCCACGGTTAGAGAGAAATTTTCAATACATTTAATACAAAAAGCATCGCTAAAAGACGACAGACTGAAGCATGAAATTCACAACAAAGTGAACATGGTAGCCCTCCGTCGTTTTCTTTGATGCTACACTTTGTCGCCTTTTAGCGAAGCTTTTAAGCAGGGTGGGTATTATATCGACAGGCTCCGAAGGGTCAAGCCCCTTTGAAAAGTGTTAAAAATGATAGATACATGAATTTCTATGATTCTTTCTAGCTGACTTCATTTCTGATGATTTTCACAAACGGGTAAAGGATATGACCATGTCTAAACTAAAACTGTGTAGGACTTGCAAAGGAGGAAAAAATAAATTACAGTTGTGTTTGGTGTGGAAAGTAACACAGTTTATTGTGTATTATATTTCATCCTGTTAACAAATAAGTGTTAGCGAAGGGAGAAAGTGATGGCTATAATATAGACTCGTGAGGAACTTGCAGTGCTTTAGTTCTATATGTCCCAAGGTTGAAAATTAGTTATCGATCAAGTTTTTTAATTTTTTTAATGCATGCTGCGAATGTAAATTTTCTAGTTTCCACGAGCAGTGAAGTATATTTTCAATCATAATACATATTAAATATGTTTCCGTGAATAGGCTGACTTGAATATCGTTAGCTAATGAAACAATCATCTATTTTGCTCGGTCTACCAAGTGCAATAATTTTTCTTTAATACTCATGTTAATGGACAATGTAATACATTGGCCAAAGCTAACAAAAAGATAGACACAAAGATTGACATATGGAACATGCACTACAAACAAGTGATGAAAAAGTTATGTTTAGTTACTTTATCATACAAGAAATTGAGTTACTTGGTTGTTGAATGTAACATTTAGTATTGACACAACAGTCTAAAGGACCCATAATGCGATTACGATGAATTTATTTCTTTTTCATTGATGCAAGTAATATACACATTACATGTAAAAAATGACAAATATGAGAAATAAAAGAAAGGATAAATGTACAAAGAAAACATTGCAAACAAATACACAGGGAAAGGGACTAAAATAGAGGTACCAAGAGAAAAGCGCTTACCCTCGTCAACGGATTCATCCGGTGTTGACGAGCAAGTCTGAGCATTAGAACGCATCGATTGCATCTGTCTATTTTCCCGCAGACGAGAGAAGAACTCCACGGCGTAGTCGATGATATCACCAGGGTTTTCCAAAAGGTAACTTATCGTAAACTCCAAAAGGACGTTCCTCAGATCGTCGGGCACGGCTATCTTTCCACTATTACGTCGACAGCTCATTTTGGTTTAGGAATATGACTAAGGTAGAAAATTGAGGTGTATCGCTTATAAGAAGTGTCAGGTAGAATCTTGATGTATCGACTGCAACCCACTGTGGGCTTTCCCTCGAAGACGTTGGAACAGTTTCACGGTAGACACGCCGACAGGAGTCCTTCGTTACTTACGTCGCTTAAGTCGGTATATGGGACACGAAAATAAAAGGCAAGGCGAGAAAGGACAAGTCGAGAAGACGATACGAAGTGACTTTACTCCGTTCTACTTGGTAGGTCTGTCGCTTGTTCGCCGAGTCGTTCAGTGCCTGTCGTCTTACCCGTCTGACATAATAAATAATAACGCTTACGCCGAAGTTTTAATCCGAATCGGTCCCTCGATCGGTTCCCGGTCACGCTTCTCGTTTCTCGTGTCTCTCTGACCTATAAACAACACAACGCAAACGTTCAAATCAAAGGTTTTAAATGAAATTCGGCTGGTGGTAAAAATGGCGACTGTCAATGATAAATCTCGTGACACGACCGGAGAGAATCCTCGTTTAGTGCGGTTAAACGGTCCAACGGTACGAACAAACTAATCGGATCTGTTAGCTCAAAAGCGACCTAAGTTAAATAAAATGTTAAGTATTAACGTTCGATCGGTGGCATAGCTTTATAGAATGGCTTTGCAAACGGTTATCTTCGATCCTGTATACTCCCTCGTTAACTGAGCCGTATTCCAATTCAAGTGAAGTATGGATAATTGCACATTTCGATATATATCGTAAACTCGTAATGGCCGTCACTATCGTTCGACCGCCAGCTCGATTTGGCCAAATCGCGCAATTCGATATTAGGCAGGGATGAGTTGGATATTAGGCTTGAGATTTCGACAAGCAGTGCCAATTTGTGGAAACTATTCTGGGGACATCACTTCGTAAATTTTTGGGTTCAACATTCTAGAAACGTTCCTGTTCATCGATCATCATTTACGTAACCTCACACTTCGCATGTGACGTTTACGTTCGATCTAATTTTGGTATCAAGACAGAATATATTTCAATTTTATTCGCGATTTACGTTTACTTAACCTAAGAAAATGTGGTTTGAGGTGTTACCTTGCATGGGCATAATTATGACGGCTTTGTACCTTCCTCAGCTTTCTGCTTATTACTTTAACATGGCAACGATTGGTCATGTAAGTTAATTCTTCACATTCATCATTATTACTCTCACAATAATTAGTTAATATTATTTTAGTTATATGTTCCTAAACATTGATTCCACAGTATCAATGTGTTATGGACATTTGATCGTTAACGGAAGGCTGACACTGAAAGGAAACAATTGTTTATGAACCGCTCAGTACTAAAGTAAAATTTACTTTTGCACAAGAAATGGATCATAATTTATAGGTATTGACGTTATAATATTTTCCTTCTGTTTTTAGCCTCATCACAGAGCAGCGGACACCTTTTGGGAACGTTGCATGTATTTAAAAGATTCTCGCCTCGGTGGAGCTCCTTTTAATGCCGTGGTAATGTTTTCATGATTCCTAATTTTTTTTTAAAGTTAGAATCTTTCTTGAAAAACTAATAAACTTATATTCCAATGACAGCATCGTCCTATATCTCATTATTTGATCACTGAAAAACATGGACATTAACATATTCACGAGAGTCATTTTTTCTTTCAGGGGCTAGAAAATATTCCAGACGAGCCAAAATAATTCAAATGGAGAGTGCAGTGTAGAATAGTCCTTGCCGTGTAATTATAATATTATGTACCATCCAGTTATGTATGTATAGAAATACTTAATACACTCCACATAAGTAAAATGAGGATGTTATTTGCCTAAATAATGTAAGATTTCTTCCATACATTCTCATAAGTATCGTATGCATCGTCGTGCACGTAGTTGTAATGCTCATCCAGCTCTTCTAAGTAAAAGGACCGACTATTCGTCGATCCATCAAGGACCAACCATTGCATCCGCATAGTTACTCGAACCTGCTCGTTCGCATAAATAAGACATCGAAGACACATTACGCTACAGGGAATAAAAAATACAACCAGGTCAAGCTGCTTTGCCATGTTTATTTAAGCTTACAAAATGAAATAGAGATGCTCCTGTCGCCCGAGTTGATTCGTTAAATAAAGGTAAAGTAGAATACCTGTTGCAAAGTAAGACAATTACTTTGCACCTTCCATACGGCCGTTCGCGCGATTCGCTCCACGTGAGAGCCGGAAACCGATTCGAATAGTGGTGATAGACGAATCCCAAAGCCCAGAGTGGGCAGACCGGGATATCGTCCGCTATGTAAGGTGCAAAGGCAACTTGCCAATGTTTGCCAGATTCTGGTTACCCATATTCCCGTCAATTTAATTCCCGGTCGCGTGTGTTCCCTTCCCTCGAAGAGTGTAATTACAATTTGACAAGACCGTGTTTAATCCCCAGATCTTGAGGAAAGTCCGTCGCGTCTCGGCGCCAGAACGACGTCAACGCCGTCCTCCTCCTGTGGCACCTTGAAGATGTTCCTCGACCTTTCTTCATCGTTAAGTATTTACAAGACTGCAGTATGTACAAGAGTTAGGAAAGTGAGCACAACCGGTAGAGTCCAGCCAGCAGTGTTCGACGTACAGCCGGTGTTCAAGGTGACGTTGAACCTAGCGAGTATTGTCGTTTCTCTTGGTAATCACTTCGTGCGTTTCAGGGTGTCATTCGTCACGAAGCTTGGCCAGGTGGATTTTATTACGCCGCAGGTTTCTCACCCTCGGCGACCGTGGTCACGCCGGAAACGGTGGACGTCGCATCCGCATGTGGAGCTGGCTCTCCGCCGCCGCAAGCGAGAGATGGGAACCTCGCGAACAGGGCGGCTCGGTATTTCGGATGGCTGAAATTGAACCGAGAAATTCGCATTCACTTTCAGTGCGTATTACGTTTGGAAGAGTACCGGCGAACACGAAGGTAGTCATGTCCACCGGTGAATCTGGGTAAGCTTGAGTTGGACCGTATGAAGTAAGAAATAATTCATGAATTGATGAATTAAAAAATTTTTTTTTAGGTATTTATTATTATTTTCACACGTCACCTGATGCCGTAGACGATGGGGTTGTAGACGGCGTTCGCCTTGGCGAAGAGGGAACCCCAGATCGTGAAAAGTGGGCTGATCTTGATCGTCTCGAAGATGCCTGCGTAGTTGATGACCAGGTACGGGGTCCACGCCATGAACCAGAGAGAGATCGTCATCAAGGCCACCTGAAACGTCATTGTATTCATAGTGAGGGCAGATTTTTATGCGCTTCGTTTTAACGGAGGATGATTTTTTAGTGGAGGGTGACCGTACCTTCGCCAACTTGCACTCGGCGCTGGTGTTCTGATTCTCGGACGATCTCAGGGAAGCAACGTTCATTTTCTTGGCCTGCTCGCGCATGTTCTTCTCGTGGGCCGACACCGCCTGGATGATGAACCAGTAGCTGTAGCAGATGAGGAAGAACGGCAAGTAGTAGCAGTAGAAGCTGTACACAAGGATGTACGAGCGACTGAGCCAATCCTTGTTGAGGTAGTCGGTTCCGCAGGCGGTCATGTTACCTTCCGGTACGTATCTGTAAGGGGAGGTAAATGAGTCCATTGTTCAGGTGATATTCTAAGTTATTAATGTCGTCGATGGCTTTGAAAGGCAAAGGCAAATACCGGCTCCACCCGAGCGCGGGTGCAATGGTCCAGCCGGTGCAGAAGAGCCAAATCCCCAGGATCCTGAGGAGAGCACCGTTGATGGTCAGTGGCTTTCCAGCGAGACCCTTGACGATCACGTTGTAACGGTCGAAGGCGATCATCGTCATCGTCCAAATCGAGGTGCACCCGAAGAGCGAGCCCAGCATGGCGTAAATATCGCAAAATAGAGGCCCGAAGACCCAGGTCTCGTAGTAGCAGTTTATTACCTGGGAGTAGACATTATTTTAGCTGTACCAAAAATCCAGGTGTCCAATTTTAGTGGAGATCGATCATGTCTCGCTTGATTTTAGGGGCGTACCATGGGTGGAGACATGCAGAACATCATGAGGAAGTCAGAGAAGGCGAGATTGATGACCAGGAGGTTGCTTGGAGTACGAAGAGACTTGGTCGTGGTGAAGATGTAGACGACCATGCCGTTGCCGGCAACGGAGACGAAGCCGAGGCATCCGATGACGAATCCCAGGATCCCGTGCCAGAGAGGGTTCATGGGCGGATATTGGTACCAGTGGGGGTCGATCAGGTGGAGCATCTCTGGGGGTACTTTGTCCACGACTGTTTGGTTGCCGAAACCGCTGCCCTGGGAGGACCAGGCGGCGTAACTCGGTCCTGGTATCACAGACATGGTGGACTGGAAACAGAAAATTCACCTTCACTCCCGGGTACCCTCGACATCCTCTTCCTACCCTCAGGAGGCGTTTTCAATATCATCCACTTGCTGGAAAAAGACACGTTACTGCACGGAAAGGTTGAACACTCTTACGTTGTCTCTATATTATTTCTTTTAATCCCGCGGAATGAAAATTCACCGGAGCTTATCCACTTTTTAGGTACTTCTCCCAGTTCCGGGCTCGAGAGGAACCCACGGATTCCATCGACGTCTTTCCCCGACAAGTGGACGGTACGTTATAGGGCGAAATCAGGGATAAATCCAAATTTCTTGACGCCTTACATTTTTGTAGACGTAAACCATCATGGCGAGCCCAGACCTTCGGCAAAAGCGAGTTCGCGATACGGAGACGCCTAGGTGTCTGACTTACTTTCGGTTACTTGGAGAAAATCGTGTTAAAACGAACTAATCCAAGCGCTTGTCCTGGCCGTGGAAAGACAGGTGACCAACGCGGGTTTAAAATTTTGCAGAGGATTCAGGTGAGGTCGTCCGAAATTCGTTGGTCCGCTGCCGGATGCGGATAGCGTTGTCGTTAGGAAGTTCCGTTTAAATATGCACCTACGTTCCAGGCCCGTTCTTCCATTTGTACCCTTCCGAGGATCGCTATATAGCCCATCTTAGGCGGTCTTGTCTAAGTCTTCAAACAGAATTAAGATGCTTATTGAGTTAGGGGGATTGAGGAATACCTTGAGATACCTTGAGGAATACACAAGGAAACCTTCCAAAAACGCAGCGAGAATAGACACAAGACCCTGCCTTTCGCTCAACACTTCATCTTCTCCAAACGCCGTAATCGCATCGCACGTGGGAAAGACATAATCGACTGAGGATGTAACTCGGTGGCCGTAAACAAAAACAAAGTCACCGGCTGCTTCATTTTTTAAATCGGGATGACGGTAACTGTAAGATAGGAGAGCAGTTTATGTCACACGAAAATCGAATGAGAGATCAATCTGAAGAAGGTGTTTTTGATTCGATTTCACATCTTTATGTAATCAAATTATTTGTATTAAATCAATTATTGATTTATTATCTGATTTATTATTTTTTTTTATTTTAAATTTAATTAACTATCCTCCGCCGCCGCCGCCGCGTGGAGTGAGAAGGACGAAAATCAATGCAAAAGGGCGAGAGGGTGAGGACAAGGGCCAGAACAAGAGCGAGAGCCCCTTACATTGATATTCGAAACGACCGCGCCACGTGGCCATCGCCTATTGGTTGGATCGCTGCGGTGCCGCGGAAACGGTCGACGGAAAAATTCAAGCGATTCAAGCGAAGTGAAATATTAAAAAATGCACATCTCTGTATTAAATGAACCAATCGGTTTCGTTCATAGCTTAAAAAATGCAGAAAAATCGCCCACTCTCGATGGCCTCGTTGAAGTTGACTTTACTCATTCAAGAGGTTCAAAAAACAACATTCATTGTCCAATTTGACACGCCAGGCTGAATATCGTAGATAATGACTAGGTCTGAGTTTCTTAATAGTTTATGATATGACATTGGTATAGTCTTCCATTTCCTATCTTTTATGTCTGTTTTATGCCAACAACCGTGAAGGCGCCTGCGTTTCGATCCTACGATCCGTGAGTTTGATATCTTTTTTATGCCGATCAATTCCAGTAGTTTCAAACTAACGCACCGCGATCCTCGTAATCGCCTCTCACTGTAAATGTTTAAAATACGATTCCGACTAAATTCTAGAGTTAAGTCTTGCTTGATGTCAAACGTTGACTAATTAATTGTTAAAGTCCCAATCGAGGCGTCGGGACTGCAATTGAATTGCAAACATTAGGTGGGATTATCCAAGTGGACACATTGTTGCGCCGATGGGTTCGATTATAGATTGAAATCATAAATGTCACTTTAGCGCCTGTTATACAGTTTTATATTAACCATCGCTCGTTGCGTCGATAGTTAAACGGCTAAATTCGCTGGACAATTAACCCTTTGCGATGGAATCTTTTAAGGTCGGCCAGCACTTTCGTCCTCGCCATCGAGTGGCGGGCGTCATTTCTTATCACGGTGCGCATCCCGTCTGCAGGATTCCTTGTATCCCCGATTTAATCAGCCATTAAAAATCCCACGAACACTCGTTCCGACTTTCTAATTCTGGTTGCCGATTTAGTTATCCTCGTGCGGTCCGCATCGGCTCGAGATGTCTTCGTTCCGACTCATGAATTTTATGAAGGTCTAAGCTTTATTGCCCGATTACCAGATTATGTTCTGAACCTTCATTGTTGCCTGCGATTACTGGCCTCTCTGGGACGGCATCGACGAAAAAAGTACCGGGATTCAGCGCCTGCTGGGAGCAGGCATTAAGAACGGCTCGCAGCATCCGACGAATCTCTCGAGTCTCTGGATTGCTAGTCCTACGATGGAGAGACATCTTGCAGGATCTTCTCTCGCTCTCCTCCAAGGAGCCCCGTAAATTTCATCCGATCTCCCTAGAAATTAATTCCGAATCTCTGCAGAATTTTCCTGGTCCTCGTCGTTCGAAGGCCCGGTGAAAGAAAAGAAAAAATGAAATAGTAATTGAAATACCGATTCAGAAATCGAGATGTCTTGGAGATAAATTCCCTAAGTTGTTCGCATGGTGAGTGAGAGTATTTCTTATGGGAAGTGTGGAAAGTGTTTTTTCTTCCTTTTCGTTTAAATGCAGGGGGAAAATTCCGGGCAGTTTTATTGTAATTTGTGTGAGCTTCTAGCTTTATTTAACGAGTACTGAGAGTGTAGCTTTGGAAGACAGAGTGCCGGTTAAGCGGGATGGATTTAATTTATGGGGGCAAAAACGATTTTGGAGTAAATATTGATGTCTCGTGTATGTAGCGGTTCGCATTCGGTAATGAGGATTTTCACTCCGTTTTTAATGTTCGTTAATGAATGTACTTGCTTGATCGTTTTTAGTTATCACCGTGAACCCTGGGAAAATAATGGAGTAAAGAAGTACTCGCTGATTTTGGGAGGATTTATCGAGTTCCTTCTCCGAATGTTTGCATCGTCGACAGCTGATAATTTTTTAATAAAATGACCGAAGAAGCGATCCAAATGCCCGAGACGGTGAGTGAGAATATTTTAACAGGTCTAGATATTAACTTTTCATTCACTTCCGGATTTTTATTTCAAGTCACGGAACAAGTTATTAATGGGGAAAAGGAATATTGGAGCTTGACAAAAAAATGATGAGCAGCAGAACGTCATGTGCCATCGTTTTATGCAAATTAAAATTAAGATTTATGACGGGTTTCTAAGAATATACGCACACCCTATCATAATCGGTTTGTTGGTTGAATCGGCTTAATTGCTTTTAGAAATAGCGAAGGTCGCATCTTCGTTTTTACTATTGTTGCATTATATTGTCTCGGGGATAACGGAAAGGTCGCAACACATTGTAAATTATCTTTTACGACGCGATCCGTAGTTTAGAGAACTTCTGGTACCCCTTCCTAGTTTGTGGATGATACAGAAAGGCCGTTACTAGAAATAAATTACTCTTCACGAGGTAATACCCGGTGTAAAGCTCGAAATGTCAATAATGAGTTATAGACATCTTGGTAATTTGCGGGGAATTAAAAAAAACACTTACGACTAATTATGTATATTTTATGTATTTCCCACATTTTACGGATGAGATCTGCGATCGGTTATTAGACATAACTACGGTGCTAAAAGAATTCATTTGCAATTACGTGTTATATTTAGGTCGGTCTTAAGTACTCCCCGATTAAAAAATTTATTTAATCGATGTAATATGAAATATCTCATGGAGAGAAAATATCCAAGGGACGTCCTACGGTGTGCTTCGGTTTCCCGGAAAAAATTGCGCAATCTACTGTTCGATTAACTAGAAAATTTACGCCGACAATTACTCGAGAAATAAAACACCCACTGTATCGTACTCAATGCACTTTTAAATGCCCACCACTCGCTTCCTTATCGTCGACAAGCTCGTTTGGTCAATTCATTTTCAGTACGTCATAAATAACGTGCGACGCTTTCAATTGAACGCGTCTTTTGACGAAACGTAGAAAAATTAATCGGACATTTTGTACTGACGAATATTGTTTATTTTTTAAGAATGCTGAAAATGGAGGCGTCGTTCAACAGGCGCCAAAAGACGATGGGAGTCCTCAGATGGTCTATGGAGTAGAAGACATCCCACCGTGGTACCTGTGTTTATTCATGGCATTACAGGTACATAATTCACCGCCATTCTGGTTATTAAATTACATTGGGATATATTGATAAAGAATGTAATGTTTCTCAGCACTATCTCACCATGATCGGTGCCATTGTGTCGATTCCATTTATATTGACGCCGGCACTTTGCATCACGGAGAGCGACCCTGCAAGGAGTTACATTATTTCCACCATGATATTTGTAACTGGAATAGCGACGCTTTTGCAGTCAATTATCGGGTGCAGGTAATGGACCGGAACTTTTCTATGTTAACTCTTTGGCGGAGCCCTTTTGACATATGGGCGAAATTCGTCAGGGCGTGCAAGCAATAGTGGACCAAACGTCGGACGTCGTTAGGACGCAAACGGGTCAATTAAATTCATATTTATGTATTTTCTATCTAACTTATATATATATTTTTTTTTTCAGGCTTCCGCTGATACAGGGTGGTACCATCTCGTTTTTAGTCCCGACTCTTGCTATACTCAGCTTGCCGCAATGGAAATGTCCAGCTCCTGAAATCCTGAATGCTATGTCAATGAATGACAGAACCGAATTGTGGCAAATACGAATGAGAGAGTTATCCGGTGCTATTTCCGTGTCCGCACTTTTCCAAGTTATCATTGGCTTCGGAGGTGTGTTAACAACCCCTAAACGTATCGCATACAAAATCTCATTACGATAATAGACAAAGACGCCCGTGTTTGTTAGGACATTTATGTCATTAGGCTAATATATAGAAAGAGGACACTTGAACGGAATTGCGAAGTTTCTTTTTTTCTTACCTCAGCGAATTTATTTGCCATGTGTTTTTAAACCTCATTTGATTCCCAGGTATCATAGGGTACATGTTGAAGTACATAACACCATTAACCATGGTACCGACTATAACACTGGTTGGGATATCCTTGTTTGAAAATGCCGCTCAAGCTGCTTCTAGACATTGGGGGATCGCAGTCGGGTAAATATTCCTATTTCTTATTGAAACATCATTTATAAATATACCCTTACCTCTTTTTTTTTTTGTTATAATTCCCTGTTTGTTGCTATTGCAGAACCATAGTGATGCTCACCCTGTATTCCCAAGTTATGGTCAACGTGGAGTGCCCATTCGTGACCTATAGGAAGGGAAAAGGACTTCGCGTTATTTGGTTCCCTCTGTTCAGATTGTTCCCGGTAAGTCGCGTAAAATAACCCAATAAGTATTATTCCCTTACTATAAATACCTTATTCCCAGGTCTTGTTAACGATATTCATAATGTGGATAATTTGTCTGGTGTTAACGATGACGGATGTTCTACCCGATGGCCATCCCGCGAGGACGGACTCCAAAATCGACATTCTGTACGACTCCCCATGGTTTTACATCCCATATCCAGGCCAATGGGGTGCACCTACTGTCAGCTTATCCAGTGCACTTGGCATGTTGGCTGGTGTCTTGGCATGCACCATAGAATCTGTCAGCTATTATCCAACGACGGCTCGAATGTGTGGTACGCGATTTTCGCTTGTAAAAAAAAAAAAAGAAAAAATGTCCTACCTTCCTTTGCTTCATAAGATTCTTCTTCAGGTATTACATCGCCTCCCATTCACGCCATTAACCGAGGAATCGGAATCGAAGGAATTGGAACCGTCCTGGCAGGTCTATGGGGCAGTGGGAATGGTGCAAACACATTCGGCGAAAATGTCGGCACCATAGGTAAAATGAGACATGACATGATAACAACTTAGAGATGATAATACCCGAAAACGTGCTCTTCCAGGTGTGACAAAGGTCGGGAGTCGAAGGGTCATCCAGTGGGCATGTGCGATCATGATTTTACAAGGAGTGATCAGTAAATTAGGAGCCTGCTTCATTATCATTCCCGAGCCGATAGTAGGAGGGATATTTTGCATAATGTTCGGTATAATATCAGCATTCGGTAGGTGCCTAAAATGAATAATCCCTAGGATTTAAAAACGAAGTAACTTGTTACAAGACCGTGGAAATTAAACCTCATAGGCGTTGCGGTGATTAACATTTAATAGATATTTATTTCCTTATTTCAGGTCTTTCGACCCTGCAGTACGTCAATTTACGGTCCACTAGAAACTTGTACATTTTGGGATTTTCTCTTTTCTTCCCTCTGGTATGTAGACTGGATCTTACATTCTGCATGTAGAAAAAGGAGATGCACAAGAAATTAATTAAAAATACGCGGATAGTGATCGTGGTAATGGTACTCATCTGTCCGAAGGTGCTGTCAAAGTGGCTTCTCCGCAATCCCGGTTCCATAAACACAGGAATTACAACGCTCGATGGAGTGTTGACGGTGTTATTTAGCACGACTATTCTAACAGGAGGAGCGATCGGATGTCTTCTGGATCACATTATACCCGGTATACTATTTATTCTAATTACAGATAATAATCACTCGCGACTGCACTTATTACCCGGCAGAGCGTCGTTGCTCAGAACTAATCGGTTTCTTTCCTAAGCCGATAATTACAGAACCAGTCGTTCACTTTTCACTCCCCGTCGTCGATGAACCTGTAAAAAGCTCATACTTTTCTTGTGCCCTTCCCTGTAATTATGGCATTCATGTAGATTAATGAATCCGTAAAATTTCCATTCTTATCGCAGGTACTCCAGAGGAAAGGGGAACCGATGCCTGGGCGAAGGAGATATCGTTAACGGAAACAACGGAAGAATCAACTTCCAAGTACAGTACTTACGATTTCCCCTTCGGGATGGAAATTCTGAGGAAGTGAGTCAACGAATCACGAGTCATAATTAATAATTTACGTGAACCCAAACCCAATACCATTTTAATTTCAGATGGAAGTGGACATCCTACCTGCCCTTCATGCCTACATACGTGAATCGCGTTTCCAAAAATCGTAACGCTTAGAGTATACAAAAAGAGAGAGAAAAAAAAAAACAAGAAACAAAGCGATAAACCAGAGCGATACTGCCACGAGAGAATCTTCGAAACTCTCCCTTCTACGTGAAATTATAATCCTGGAAAGATTCGCAAGAGAGAAAGAAAAGAAAGAGAACGAAGAATCGGCAAAAAAAGGATGTCGAGTAATAATCGAAGCTGGTGGGGGGTGGTAATCATAATTATAATAAAAAAAAAACGATCATATTAATAATAATACAATACAATCTCGCTTCTAAGAGATGTCAAATCGTCTGTACAATTAGCGATACGCTTCGCGATCTAATTACAGTGTTCGGTTTACTTGGCTAATCGTCACAATGTAAAATTCACTTCGAGGGTGTACTCACGACATACATAAGAGGGTCGGTACTTTTACCTATCAAGATTCTAATTGCGCCGTAGGCGCGGGAAAACCTTAAGAGGTAAAGGTCTTCGCAATTGTTTCTTCTTCATAACGTATATAAAGGCACTGTACACGCAAGATCCTTAGAATAACTAGGTACATATATATGCATACACGCCTTTTGTTGTGTTAAATATATACATATATATGTATCGCGACGCTTATCATGAAAAATATACATTCGCACCGTCGGTCTTTGTCCCCGGATCTGCAGGCTCCCGTTTTTCTATTTCCCAGGCCAGGGTTTAACTAATCGCAGTTTAAGGGGCCCTTTCCTAAACCATCGCGATCCTGAGGGATCGCTCGACGTACAGAAAAAGAAGAAAAAAAAATACCATAATTCTACAATTCCCACAATCGAGCGACAGCGCAGGAATCGCGATGCAACGCCTGGACAGCGTTTTTTCTTTCTCTCTTTCCTTTTTTTCACGCGCGTTAAATGATAACTCGCGTCAAACGACCTAAAGCAATGCGGCGTACTACTTTCGGGAAGTCGTCGAAATGTCAACACGTTACGAAAATCCTCCCATCTCGAGCATCCTCGTTGAGCGTGACAGGAAGATTCCGTAAAACGTTTCCCCAGGGAACGAGTTACGGCCAAGTACGTTCGGAGTCCCTCGGGCGATAACACCAAGCAATTTGCACATCCCTTAAACCGATAATATATCACCTCCTCGTCCAAATTAAGGGTACATGGATTATCTCTTTTAATCTACAGATGAGGTAGCAACGGTGTGTGTACTGGACGACGAGAGCAAAAGCACAGCGGTGGCACACAGTGTTCCATTCCAAAGACCGTTCAGGCGCCATCCAAATCCATCGTTCCCAAGTTTTTTCTTCTTTTTTTATATATATATATCAAGACCGATCCCACGACTCCCGCGTTACCCGTGTGACATCTAAACGCGACGACGCGACGTCTCGTCGCACGTCGTCCGGGTAATCGTCCCCTCGGTTTCCCCGAAAGTCGAACTCTGCTTCACGTTAGGCGATTACATATTTACAGAACTCACGCAATTAACTATGTATATATATATATATATAACTATAGATTACACCGCAATGTATGTACAAGATTGTGGAGCAACGCTGTCCAAGAGAAGTAGGTTCTCGCTCGCTACTACCCGGAGACGCGTCGTCGGCCCTTTCCGATTCTTCTACCCCTCCGAGAATTTTACTGGAATTTCCTACGATTGCCCTAAGGCGGAGATAACCCAGGGCTAGAGATATCACCGAGGAAAAAAAATCGATCTTCACCTCGGAGTACCGATAGCCAGGTTCCTTTCCAAGTCGTGTCCACGGAACGCTCGCGAGTTGCGGCCTCCGAGTGGCTTTATATAAATAAAAAAAAATTGATAAAGAGAAGGAGGAAAAATAATGGAAATAAAAATAGAAACAGAGGAAATGCACAATGAAGATGCGAACTCCGGTAGGCTACGACACGTCCCCCTAATTATATTCATAGAATACGAATTGCAACGATCGGTTCAGTGTCCAACTACACCCTAAGGGAATATTACAAAATAATCCCGCTCTGACGTGGAGGTCCTGGACCAGATTCCGGGACCCACTGGAGACCCTTTCCGGAAAGGTATCACCCTCCATGGATACTTAATGCACTACGACCAATCGATGCTAAATTCAACCCCCCTCGAGTCGTCCCGATGTCGCTAAGACACGTGAAACAGAGAGCCACGCGAGAACCAAGAGACGACGTAGGCTTAGAGATTAATCCTGCGTCTTAGACAAGGAATAACCGCTCTACAAGTTACGTTTAATCACATCGAGATACTCGACAAAGCGTCGCAGTGTCTATCTGTCACGGGCAGTGTGCAAGGAACTATATCACAGTGAACCTGGACTAGGGGGACTTGTTCGAGTACAATGGCCTGTCCAATGAACGGATGACACGGTCTTTCAGCCCCGCGAAGAAGCGAGGAAGATTAATTACATTTAATTGCTTAATAAATATTAAAGGAGAAAAGAAGAAAGAAAAGAGAAAAAAACAATAGAAGAACACGAGAGAGAAATTAAAATTCGCGCCAGCGCCGACTGCCGTTTCTCGGGCGGGCTCTCTCCTTCGGGAGGAAGAATTCCACATTTCGCTAATTGGATTCTAGATCGCACCTAGATTACACCTTCCTCGGGGATGTAATTCGCCGACTTACACCCTAAGCTCTCTCTCTCTTTCTCTCTTTCTCTCTCTTTCGACCCGGTGTTTCGGACGAGCTGGAAAGAGGACGCCCCTCTAGTATCACAATTTGGCAGTGAACGTTATCTTCGCGTACAAAATACCTCGCAGGGGTTCCTTAAGGACCTCCCTGTCCGCTTGTTATGTACGTTTCATTAGGTTGTCGGCTAGGACTCCCCGTAATCCCGAGCTAACGCAGTTAGAAAATATAACCATCTCACTATTATACTCTCCGCTCGGTAGTCCTGGGAAAAAATACACCTCTCATATCCGCTCCCTCTGCGTCCGGTTACTTCGGTATGCTTAGAAACTTAAGGTAGATATCTCGTCGATCGCGTAGAGAAAATACGTTTGCTCTGGTCTCCTCCACTTCCGTGTGCGGATCGGTAACGTCGTCGCGGCTGCCTGTTTTCCGATATACATATTATATCTTCCCTTTAACATTATCTTCCCCATTGTCGAGGAGGCGCCTCTCCTCGTTTCGAGTCTACGTCGCAACTTTCTCGCTAATATCGAACGGCGGCGAATCATCTCTGTCGATTTCTAACGAGGGAAAGAAATCGAGCGCGACCTGTGACCACGTGCCAAGGGTTCACCGAAACTCACCCCTGATAGGGATTTATCGTAGCCTGATAAGTCAAGGGAGATAACTTCTCGAGCGAGAAAAAAGAAATATAGAATTTCAGAAGACGCGGACTGAATTTATTTCCATTTTTTTTTCTCTCTTTTTAAGCGATTTGTCTAATTTTTTGGGGGTCTGGACTGAAATGCTCTTTCTCCCTCTCCCTTAGATTCGTTTTAGCGAATCAAGGGTGTATGTCCTTTTATCACAAGCATCGGCGATATAGACGAACTAATCTCAATTGCTTAAGCGAGGCGGAAGCAGCAATGAGGATACGGTCACTTTGAGTAGTTGGAGATGCGACATGAGAAATGTCTCGCTTTCGTCAACGGGAACAATGATTTTCGGTCCATAGGTCTTGAGACCGATAAGGAGGAGTATTTATTTTTTTTTTTTTAATTGGGATATTACGTTAAATAAATCTTTGGTCACGTATGAACCGAGGTGACGGGCTTGATTATCATTGATGACCATTCGCAACGGAAACGGTCATTTCCGTCAATGAGCAAGTTCCTTTTACAAGTGGGCCGGATTTGACATACTCGCGAAACTTGCGCGAGTGACCAGAAACAATTATTCCAATCGGCTGTCCCGTTCGTCAAAATTCTACATCTCCAAATAATATCATTTCAATTTCGAAATATTCGATTGAACCGTAATTTGAATATTTTAACCCGGGTCATTCAGGACGTCTCTACGACCAGCGTATATATCATGATTTCCATTCCTAGTTTCCTCTGGTTATCGAAGAGTTGTCGACTCTCCTTTCGAAGGAGAGCGACGGGAAAGAATTTCCCCCTTGTTGCGAAATGGAGATTTAAAATGAAACGAAATTCCTGTAGTGATCAGGGATCCCAAATCGGCAATTCGATCGATTGAAACGCGACAAATGAAAAGGGGCCAGAGGATCCAGACGGTCGAAATGAAGTCGACATTTCTTTTTTCTTTGCGTTGATTTTCGGTGCGACCGGAGCGATGGGTTGTTCACAATGTCCGAATGTTCAGTCGTTCCCTCGTTATTTATACACCTACGCTAGTATTAAACCAATCTAAGTCGCATTTAAATTAATTAAGCGATCGCCGAGTGACCTCTCCAGTTTTCTACGGGAAGTAGACCGGAGCCCTTTAGCGTCCTCTCCGACACAAATTCGATATCAAGAGGGCCACCTTTTCGTCTTCGACGTCGAAATTATAGATAATTCTTTACAAATCGACCTCTCAGAACCCTCCGATCGATCCCGCTGTCCGTTTGGCCCCATGGAGTATTTCAATGTACAATGATCCACGTGTCGTTTCGCAACCGCTGCATAATTCCCTACCTGATCCGATTTCAATGTCCATTACCATACCTCCCTCTTCCAGTTTCCTAGCTCGACACCGTGCACCGGCGTTAACATCTTTTGAGAATTAGCATTAACAAAAATAATCCTCAAATAATACCAGCGAGTCGATCGGAGCGCCACTAAGACGCGGCGGAGAAGAAAAGAAAGAAAAGGAAAAGTGACGTCCCATCTGTACATTTAATTCTACATCCAACGACGGAGTCACCGATTGCCTAGATATTGTAAAAAGCGGTCCCCTCGATAACGGAGTTCGAAGGGCCCGGCAACTGGAGCACACTCGACCTCGACCGCGATTTCCCTAGCCGCGACATCGCGCCATATTTAATCGAGTCTTTGAGCCTTCTACCGTCGTACGTACTCTACATCGTAATCAATAATCAACGCCGATCGATAACCGCTTGAATTAAACACGTTACTTTGTACGTAGATACAACTGGCAGTGAACGTTGCCGCGGTTTCCTGCGTCGGTTAGCGAGGAGGAATACGAAAAAAAAAAAAAAAAAAAAAGAAGAATATAAGAAGTATAGGAGAGAAGTGAAAAACCGCAAGTCTTGCGCCTCTACGCACGCGGGTGGGGCGCGATGGCTACGCAAACAGGAAGTGCACACCGGCGCTCGCGTGTACTCGTGGTATTGCATTCAATGAGAGTCGCGAGAACGTTCTTTGAACTTTGCACGTAACGGGGCATCGAACGAGGAGACTCATTTCCCAACAACGGGAGCATCGAGCCCCTCCTCGGCTCCATTCGCGTCGTTATCGGCGCTCTTGATCGTTGATATCGGCGATTGACTTCCTCTGCACGACGCAAGCTACCTAGGGTCACCTCGTTGCGGGGACGAGGCCAACAATTTGTACAAATCGTCCTAAGTAAAATATCGCTACGCCATGTAACGTAATATCGCGGGCGTAGCCGGTTCGTTCCTTGGGCCGGCGAGGACGACGAGGACGACCTACGAGGGGCCGAGCTGGTCTCCTTCGATCCTTACAGTCGTTTACGTTCCTCTTGTCCCTGATAATCGATATCTCTGTATATCCGTAGGTAGAAGCGCCGAGCCGAGCCTCGTGGGGCGCCCCTCGAGGCGGCTCTCTCAGGTACGTGAACTGCAACCGTGTCCGTAGGAATCTAGGCGAGGGCGAAGCACCGCCCAGGTCATCGCAGGGTGCTCAAGTAGTCGAGGTACCTGTGTTGCGTGTAACCTCAGGACTGGCCGGTCTGCGCCGCCATCAGGGAGGTGGTCTGCGAGGAGTGCAAGGTGAACCCGTCGTAGACGTCCATCAGGTCGCGCATCCGGTACTCCTCCAGGCATACGAATCCCTCCAAGGACGGGGCTTGCTTGCGAGCGCAGTCCATGCAATGGACCACGTGTCGCTTCTCCTGTTCCCGGATGAACAGGATGTTGAAGACCTCGATCTGAAAACGAGGACGTCCGAGATAAGTGCCTTCTATGATTGGCGACGCCATATCAGCGAGGAAGGTATTGCTAGAAGAGGACGTACCTCGCACTGGCCGCAGTAGTGCGAAGCCTCGTTCTTCCCGCGACCGTGAAACCGAACCTCGACCCCCTTGCTCTTGACGAACTCGAGAATCAGGCAGCACTGCCTCATCGTTCTCAGGAGACAGTTCTTGATCAGTTCGAAGAGCCTGGGATCCGAGACCTTGATGTTCCTGGCCAGGTTCCAGGATAGGTGGACCATAGGGACTATCGACTTGAAGGACTGCAGCTTGTTCCACTCGTAGCGCTCGATCGCCAGCTGGTACTGCCGAGCCGTCAGGGGCCCGACGTTCCAGGCGATGTTGTTGCACCAGCCGACAGCCTGCACCCAGTGAACGCAGCCTGGAACGGAGGGAATAAGAATTTCTCCGTGATCTCCAATTTCCACGTTAAGAGGCTGAACAACCGTGGACGAGAACGTACCGGCGTTTACCCAGACGAGATCCCCGGGTCTCTGCAGAAACCTGTAGACGGGTATGTTCTCCTCGTAGAGGTCTTCCAGCGAGGGCCACCAGCTACCGTGCAGATAGTTGATGTTGTTCCTCTCGCAAAGGGAGCAGATCATTCCCCAGTAGGCGTCGGGTACGGCGAACCACTCGCAGTCCCCGGGTCCTATGTTGATGTTGATCGAGCAAAAGTTGTTGTTCTCCTGGTGGCCGGGTGTCCTGCTGCCAGGGACCTAGATAATGGAAAAGTAGTTAACCCCCGGATATCAAACTCACAGCACCTCCGGAGTGACCCTCGACCGCTTGTTACCTTCATGTACAACTGGACGGTGTTCATTCCCAGGATTACGTGACCAACGTGGCTCAGCATGTTCCCAGCGGACACGACCCTCGCAAACGCCGGCAACTTCATGAGCTCCTGCAGCTGGACCTTCCATTTCCGCTCATCTGAGAGATCAACGTTGGTGCCGAACCGCAGCATCTTGGCGCCAGGTCGGCCAGCTAGGCCGAAGGCGTTCTTTTTTCTCCTGACCACGCCGGTGCTGTCCTTCGAGTCCGAGTCCGAGAGGTTCGCCGTGTGGATGCCTTGAGACTTTTCCCTCTCCTCCTTCAAGCTCTCCTGGAAGCTGGATGCCTGGTATTGGGCGTACTTGGCTATCGTCGTGTGGCTGCGATGGCTGATGCAGCCCCACACCTTCCTGCCCATCACGGGATCCCAGTTCTCGTCGCTCGTTTGTTGTATCTGAGTCCTGACCTGAAGAGCGATTCTCGTATTACTCGCCTGTTCCGTCACGACCACCTCGCCTAAAAATCATAGTCACTGCAGGAAGAAGACTCACCTCGATGCCGTGATCCGGATTGGCCTCGACGAGGGTCTTGGTCGAGAAGAGTCCCAGATCCAGCTTCAAGGCAGCAGCCAATCCGCGGATCACCGCGATTGGATGCTTCAAACAGAACTCCTGAAGTTGGGGACTGAAAGCGTCCTTCTTGTTCTCGAGATACACGCTAGGTGTCGGGGGCAGTAACTGTTCCTTGGTCAATCTCTGATTAGGAGGATCTGGTGGAGCCGGTGGCGGGGACCGATCGCTCAATATCGAACAGTTAGGTAGACCCTTTAAACCCTGGCCCTTGCATGTTTCGACGATGGTCTTCGCGTCCATCTCGATGTTGGTCTCCTGCTCCGCCACGGTCTCGCCTAGACTTTCAAATTTCAGGACAGGCTCGACCTTGTTCGTGCTGGAAGTGGCCTCGCACTTGACCGTCTCGACCGATACGGTCCCGGTCTTGGACTCATACTTCTTGAAGACGTCCAGCTTGGATCCCATAGAGGAGCCGAGCTGCACCTCGTCGATCTTCTCGACCTTGACCTCCTTGATCTTCTCGCTATCCTCCATGTTGGACGGCGAGAAGGGTCCAGAGCTGAGGGTCCCGTTGTTGGTGACGATGGGCGCCTCCTCCTTGACATCCAGGTTCTCCGAGCCAAAGTGCTTCAGGAGGTCCTCCGCAAGGGTGGTGGCGATGTCCTTCTGCGAGAGGAGAGCCTGCAGCTCCTGGTCCGTCACCCCTAGGTCCTTGTTCCCGGAGGAGCCGTCCGGACACGAGGTCGGCCTCGACGTGATCTGGGTATACCCCTGGGCGGCGTACCGATTCGAGTGGAATTGACCGAACTGACCCGAGCCAGGTTGTCGCTGGGGATCAGAGGCCGATTTATAGGGCATTCCTGCCGGCTGCTGAGTGTTCCCTGTCGCGGCTGGACTGTAGCCCATGCTGGAGTCCGAGAATCCCGTCTGCAGGGCGACGGTTCCGCTTTGCTGAAACGACACCCACCCCAGAGGGCCGTTAGAGAGGGATGAGGTCGCTATCGCACGTGATCTGCTTGGGATCGCAGTTTTAGATCAATTAAAATTACCGGCTGCTGCGGAATGCCATAGTTCTTAATGACACCTGCCTGTCCTGGCTGAGGGTGGCCGTAGGCCGTGGGATACCCCGGTTGTCCGGGTCTGATGCCGCGCTGGATCGCCTGTTGCTGTTGCTGCCTGATCTGCTGTTGGTGCTGCTGCATGGACCGATACTGGTGCTGCAGTTGCACCAACAGACTCTGCTGCTGCGGCGTCAGGTTACCGTGGTTCTGCTGCAGGTACTGCAGCATCTGCAGCTGCTGGGCCGACAAGTGGAACGGCGGTGGTCGTTGCTGCGCCCCGGAAGATATCGCCTCCTCGCCCGCCTGTTAAGAGAGCAGCGATTAATCCCAACATCCATACATCCATACATACACGCGTCCCCCCTGGAGAGGACTCCGATCTAGACGTCATACAAATCGCCGCATCCGCGACACACCGCGACATAAATCAAAACTATCGGTCTATTTCTAGCGCGCGATAAATCCGGACGAGTGGTCGGGCTGCCATCAGATATCGCAAAGTGGCGTTTCAGGTCCTCCGGGGGAGAAAAAAAAAAAGAGAAACCCTGAAGAGGGGTCTTAGGGACGTCAAAACGCAGAGAAACTTGTTCCGTCGGTGTAACAGTCGCGATGCAATGTTAGGCCTCAAAAAGTCCCGAGTGATTACGTATCGGTCTCGGCAAACAGATCCGATTAAAACTAACGAGAGCCTACACGAGATAGCGAGACAGACCGCGAGCAGACTGCAAAGCTAGAGATGCACTCATTGAGGATGCACTCTTCGAGAATGCACTCGGAGCCTCTGCTGGACTCTTCGTGGGCAGGGCCGACCATAGCCATCGATATCAACGATCGTTATCATCGGTCTTGTCGGCAGACATTTTCTAGACAAAGTACTTTCTACTCGAGGCTCTAACCGGGGATTGCGCACTTTCTCCGAGGGGCTCTATTTCGTCTATGCAATTGCACTTCTGTCGCAAGCGGCAATTCTACGGTGCGCCGACCACCGTTGCGAAACTCTCGCAGCAAGCCGAGCTAAAAGAAGGAGGGAATAACTCTAGTTAGACCGCGACAATACGAGGGTGAAGCATAGTGACCTTGAATCGTTTCGCATTGAGGTTCTGCCCTTGACCCTGGGGGTATGGGGGTGGAGGTCCCGAAGGTGCTGCGCCATATTTGTACCCTCCCGTACCCCCCGAGGGTTGCTGCTGTTGCTGCTGTCTGCTGGACATTTCAGCGCTGATCGGCAAGTTCCAAGCTTCCTCTATCGACGGCAACTGCCGCCTCCTTCAATTGACAAGATAATTTCGATCAGCCGCGATCGGGCCGCTGTCCAAAGCGTACACAATTTTATTAGCGATCCACGCCCTGTGCTTATCGCCGGGCGAGATGGGCAATGGTGGATTGTCAACCCACCCATTGCCTCGGATTTTAATAATAAATATGGCTAAATAGTAAGTATGATAATTACTAGATATATATAAAAAGAGCGCGGGAGGGATTCGAAAGAGTAAACAGAGAAATGCGCCAACTCACTTGGTGGCGATGGAAGGCATCGGTGCTTGGCTCAGGTGACTTTGCAGGAAGTTAATGCGTTGCTGAAGAGATGGGTTCATCGGACAGTTGCCGGCTGATTTCGCCCCGCTTAGGCCCGCTAGCGAGCCGGCACAATTCGGCGTGTTGTTGTTGCCCCTGCGATGGAAAAGAGAGGAAAAAAAGCCAAACTGTGAGAACAGCGCTTGTAACCGATCGAAGTTATCCCGACCAGGTCAGCTTTTGAGGGACCAAAACGGAAACCTGGCCCGACTTACGAGGCATCCCCGAGAACGGCATAGCCGTGTCTGAGACTAGGAATACTAGGAGTAAACAAAAATGCCACGTTATTACGTCGACCCATAGTTTATTCACGCCCGTGCGTTCACCCTGTCCTCGCCTAAAAAGATCGTTGCAGACGGCGGTTACCTTATCGTTCCAAAGACCCGACTCCATCCAGGACGGTCAACCCCTCGCAGCGATCGAATTTCCAGTCTAGCTCGATCAAAATAAAAATAGAAAAAAAAGAAAAAGAAAAACCACCAACGACGTACAATGTTCTATGTCATAATCGTAGCTACCCACGTAACGATAAATCGTGGCGACCCGTGATAAAAATTCTCGTGATCTGAATTTCGGATAAAACAAATGTTCCCGTTTTGCCGGGCATCATTCCTCGCCATTTCGGCTCGTTTTCTGAACATTTTCGCGGATCACTTTGGGCCGGATTTCGTCGAGTTAATTTGTACGGTAAAAAAGTTAAACGTCGCCCACTTTGCCTAGAACATGTCGCTGCGATTTATCGTCGCGCGCGTGGCTCCCTCTGCTCGACTCTCAGGAAACTCGTGGGGAAACGCCACCGAAGGGAGGCTTTCCAGAGCGACGGCGTTAAAAAGGATTATCACTAGTCTTAGATTAAGCCAGGTCGAGGCGTTTAACCCCTCGAAACGCGTACGGCTAGCGTTACATACGCAGCAGGGTGGTCGAAGGGGTTAAACCCCTCGACGAGGTTGGGAGTCCTTGGCCAAGGTTTGTGTCCGCATTACCTAGACGCGTTGACGTAACAAGCCAAGGCGTCCTTCGGTTGGCTGACGCTTTCGTACAAAATCCCAAGATTGGTCCACGCTGCCGAGTGGGACTTGTCTAACTGAACCGCGCAGATGTAGGCTTGAAGTGCATCCATAGGCTGGTTCTGCTGCTGATAGAGCACGCCTATGCTGCACCACGTGTCGGCGTTGCCTTCGGACTTTTCCACGGAGTTCCTGTTGCAAAAGAAAAATTAATTAAAATTAATTATCCATACAGGATGGCACCGGGAGTCTTAAAAAAATTCCTGGACCCAGCTCGGCTCCATTGGGGGCGTTCAAGCGACGTTTAATCGGAAATAACGAGGGCTGTACCTGTACGCGATGAACGCATCGTGCACCTTCCCAGAAGCCGCGAGACAGCGTCCTAGCAGATACAGACTCTGCCCACTCTTGGGCTCGGCTTCGATGGACTTCTGAAGGCAGTGGATGGCGATCGCCTGTTTCTGCTGTCTAGTTACTCCCAGGACGGCACAGTCGACCACGTGGTACATCCATCCTGAAAACAGAGCACCCACGTGAGAACTCTCTCCCCGTGGAATCTCAAGATCCTTAAGATGACACGAAAGCGGAAAGCATCTTAGATATATCAAAGGTGTAACTTTTCTCCTAAGAGGGTGTACCGAATCATTTACCATGAATACAGAGACTATAAGGAAGGCCCCCTCGCCCATAAAATGTCCCCTTTTCTATCCAATTTTTGGAAACGTCTATAAAGATATTTAAATAAAATTTGAATTATTACGCGGTTCAGGACCTTCCTTATAGCTTCCACGTTCAAGTTGTATGTAATTTCAAGCGAATGGGGTACACCCAATTCGAAAAAAAGTTTCACGGACGAGACCACTTTAATGGGACTTTCACATCGCTTTAATAATGCAACGGCGTAATGTAATATATAGGGCCAGATAAGTGCAGGGCAGGTCCACCTGACGTTTCCGGTACTTCACCTGTGTCGGGAAGTTTTATCACCTGTGCATGAATTAAGGGCCAGGAAAAATAGTACGCGGGTAAGAGAAATATCTTCTTTTTTTTCTTCCGTTCGTTTTCCGCTCGGTTCATTCTGCTTTCATTCAATGCGAACGGTTTCGTGTAAATCTGCCAACAAGTGTCAAGCGAGCAACCGGTTGCCTCGGAGTCCTGCGAGGTTCGCGGCTACCGCATCGAAAGTATGACGAAGCGTGCCATCTGCCAGGCGAGGCACCACCACCGGCCGCGAGAGAGACGGCGCGACGGCCCGGCTGCGAGGTAGAGAAGGAGAGCCTCGCTTCCTCGCTTCCTCGCTGCCTCTCAGTCGCTCCAGTCGCGCGGGCAGGAAGTGCGACAAGGACGCCGCGCCTCGCGCTGGCGCTTCCCGGCCCTCGCCGCCGCACATAGCGCGGCTGCAGTGTTGCCGTCTGGTGACTTTTTTTTTTCCCCCACCAGATATAGTTTTTGACGCGTGGATTAAGCCGCCGAATTACCGGCGTCATTCCCGACCGTAGCGACGTGTACTAAATACTTCAGCGTCCGAAATCTAAAAGGTGTGGAAGAAGTTTCAACGGCAAATCTCACTTTACGAGCGTCGGGAAATCACTAGATAACCCTAGGTGTCGAGTTGTCGGTAATGAAGATGCGCCTTTAGGGTGACCGTTTATATTCATTGGTTAAGGGTTAACGATCGCGATGAGAATCGCCGATGCGACCTCGCGGAGGTTATTTCGATTCGAAGTTTCGGGACGGGGGATTCTATGTAGATGGCAACACCGGTTCGTTCCCGGCGAGCTCGAGCTCGAGCCGCCCCCGAGTCGGCGAATAAATCAATACACGCGTCTGCTGCGACGCGTGTGCCGGGCCGGGCGCACGTACGCACCTTTTATCGCGCGAGCGCTTCCCTTCGGATTATCGACCGGCCATCGGATCTCTCGACTCGCGCCCGCATCCGATCCTCCTCGCGGAACTCGGAGGGGGCGCCGCCATCTTGGCGTCGGCGGAGCGCGCCCTCTGCCGCCGCCGCGCGGTAACCCGGTTACTTTTCTCTCTCTCCTGCGCCAAGACCCGAGCGAGACGCGGATATAAACAAACGAGCGGCCGCGCGCTTCCGTCTTACTCGCGACCCGCGTGGGCCGGAGCGAGAGGGAGAACTGACCCGGTTAGTCGGCCGCGAGGCGGCGCGCTGATTGCCAGAACGCGGCCTCGATGTCGGCGAATTTAATAATATACACCTTACGGTTTGTTAGGTTAGGTCGTGCACTATCAACCCGCAAGCGTGTACGCCTAGTCCAAGAACGGCTTAGAAGGTGTCGCGAAACAGCTTTAAATCCTTGGATATTAAAATTTAATAATACTTGATGTTTTTTTAGGTTAGGTCGCGCAATCAACCCGCCCATACGACATACCTATCGGTAAGGATTTATAAGGTATCGATAAAGGCGGCTATAAAAGGAGGATATTAAAATGTAGTAATAAACCTGTTTTTTTTTTAGGTTAGGTTGTGCATTATCAACCCGCGAGTAAAGCGCTCGCTTTCCGGTGAGCTTTATAGTGACCATAGGAATACGACGGCTTGAGGTAATATTAAAACGATAAAGTAATTATTAAGAAACGATAGAAAGATCGCAAATTCCTAAGTTGACTCTCTACCGACCATTTACACGGATGTGGCAAGGCATCGGAATTAACCCGTTTCGCGTTTCGCAATCTCCTACGCCCGGGTGTTGAATTTTTCTCCATTGCAGATCCCCGCAAGCCTTCGGACGGGTTCCACGTCATCCGAATGCAATTCTCGATACTCGCAACTTTCATTGAGAAATATGTGCCTAGGACGCGTGGGTGGTGATCTACCAACGCTCGGCGCGCAGCCCCAGGGCCGTCACCACATCAAGGGGGAAATTCAGGTACGATTTCCATTCGTCGACTGGAGATAAAGTGAGACAAAGTCGACATATAATTTTAACGTCTTCAGGAAAAATCCAGGGTTTACCCGCGCCCAAATTCCGGACGTGATCTCTACCTCGGCGACTCCTTTCAACACGTTCCGTGCCACGTGTACCAGAGTTGATATACGTTAACGCGTACCAATGGATACCTCGGAGCGTATCAAAGGAGATTCTCGCTACGACCCTGGACGGCGCATTCGGAGAGAACGGTGAAGTCGCATGCTCGCCTTCGTCCTACGTGCTCAAGAGAGGCATAACGCAACGTAACGTAACATAACATAAGGATGAATCACGAAACGCGTGCCAGGCTCTCGACTTACCCAACTGCCGACAGATATCCGCTTTCAGGTGAGAAGGCAAGGCCTTTTCCTTCAGCAGCGCCTCGTAGTGTTCCTTGGCCAGCCGGTACTTGCCCTGGACCTCATAAAGGTGGGCCACGTGAAACTTAACTGGAAACAAAGGAAGGTACCATTCGTTACTCTCATTAACCAGGGCACCTTGACAAAAATCACAGGAAAAAAAAAACGTGTGGATTTTAGACGAGCCCCAGGAAAACTGAAGTCAAGGAGGCGCCCCATGCCCGTCGCGTCACCCTGTGCAACGAATCCGTACACCACGGGGCAACAAATTACCCGACAAGTGAAGAGGCCGGAATAACAATGAATTATCCCGCCAACACGATAACTCTCCGTGGCCGATGAAGCCGATTCCCCGCCAGCCGGTTGCTCAACTCCTTTGTCAGCGATTACGTTCATCCAGGGCGAGCTCGCGCGTATGCATTGTTACGGGCCACGGGGATGCGTAACGCGTTTCGATCGACATCGGGTACTCTAAGCGGGAGAAGTGCGCACGGAACGTGTCTCTAGAATCCACGTAACGTGTCTCTCTAGAATCCACGTAACGACGTAACCCGGCGTACGCGTTGCGACAAAGTGGCCCGAGCAAGCATTCATTTCTGCCCCCCCTCTCGCCTTTGTAGCGGCGCATTTACAAGGCAATAAACCGCCGGGAAATTTCATAACGCGTCCATTTCGCAACCGTAACCGCCGCCGTCTCTTGCCCACGTGGCGTTTTCCAGGCGGCATCTTTCGACTCCCTCGGCGACAACCTTGGCGCTCTCCGTTTCCCGTTACACCGTGGCGGCTATTTATACGCGCGTAGGAGCACCTCGTGTACACGACTTGGAATCGACTTACGATTTCCTGACGGGTACAATAACTATTATCGCCCTCCCGACAGGCGTGACGAGTGGCAACGAGGAGCCTGTCTATTTACCCCAGCGACTCCGCGTCTATCCGGCGACAAATGTCACCCTACGGGGGATGTACATCGATATAGAAGTATTACAATCCATATGTACATATATATTCGTAAGAATTTTTCTAATGCGTTAATAATAAGTTCAAAATCAAAAATACAGTTTAATACTTGAAACTATTGAAACCCGTTATTAAAATTCATATATATATATATTTTTTTGTTATAACTTCATTATCGGAATTAATGGGAATTTTGAATATGACGGAATGTGACGAGTCGTCGACATCTCGGAATTCGAGTGCCCGAGTTGACAAAATATTCGACCGGTCACGTCACCGTACAGGGAGAGACATGAATGCCCTCTCTAGGGGTACGGCGCCGCCGGTGCCTCGAGGGATGGCATTCAGGTCCACCGGTGTACCTGTAAACAGCGAGTGAGCACCACTGCGCCAGCTGATCCGAAGTGCGGCTCGCGAGCACGGTTCTCATTGTCCCGGTCGGAAAGGGCCCGGCTCGGATGCAATTTTTCAATCGGCTCGATCTAATTAACCCAATTCGTTTTTCAGGAGGGGAGGCACTCACTTTCGAGCTTCGAGAAGGAGGCAGGTGTGGTGGCGTCGATGAGAGCGAGGGTGAAGTGCTTGAGGGCCGCGTCGAAGTCAGCATGGACCTTCAGCATCAAACCCAGACGAAGGTGCACCTCGCACGCTCGTGGAAACCCCGGCTCCACCCATAACACCTGCTGGAATGCCTTCACCGCCCTGGAAGCATAAACGGAAGACCGTTACTCGACCGTTAACGAGACCGCGAGCTTATCGACGACGATTTCGCTCCCTGGACACGTACCGGCCCCTCTCGGGTGAAGAAGAAAAAATAGGGGAAAAGAAAAAAAAAACACCAAGAAAGGGGAAAAAAATAATATCACACGGGGCCTTATATAGAAATAGAAATTCAAGCAATACATCCGGAGTTAATGTGCGAACCTTCGTTAAGACCTAGGATAAGCCTATGTATGCGTACGTCAAATTGCACGTGTAAAACCGGTAAGCTCGAATTACTCCGATATAACGAATAGTTGTTAAATGCGTGGATTATAAATATCCCCGGTGTACAAAGGTGTCGCAAATAGCGAGACCTGGATTATAGGTCAGACGATTATTCTTAAGAGCGGTGGACGTAATTAGGAATAATCGATCCCAGGGTAGTTCCTCGGGGAAGGTCCCGATATCCCTATATCGCATTTTAATCTCCTCCGTTTTGACTCTCCGGATGTATTCCCCGTATCCCGATTCGCCCTGGATGGAACGGCTGCGAAGTGAAATTTCTCCTTTTTGCGCACTCGGCTACCCGGCCTCTGTACCGTAATCCCGAAGGAGAGAATACGTTTCACTTTCCTCCCCTCGTTTTCGCTCTCCTATTCCCCTCGAACGGGTGCTCCGTTGTCCCCGTTTCGTAATTATAAAAATATGCGTAAAGTGTATGTACGACGTGTAAAAGAAAAAAATAAAAGAAATCCCTCGCAAACGCTGGATTTCGGCTTGCACATTCCGTTGAAAGGATGCAATCGTTATCGAGCCCTCTCTTCGAGGCTTCTCGATAAGCCTTGTCTTTTTTTTTCTTCTTCTTCTTCTTTCCTCATCGGCGTTACAGTTCCCCCCGTTATCGAGTTCGATCGACCTCGCGGCGACTCGGAAAGCCCGAAAACCAGGTCGAGGTTGGCCCGCCGAGTGGCAGGATGTGCACTCGGGGTGCACTCGCCTCGTCCGTTCGGGTCGCCGTATAAGTGGAGGCAGATGCATCCTCGTAGCACGCGCCGCACAGGCAGGTGCGTCTTTAATGTCCGGCCCGAGTGTACTTAAATCTTGCCGCACAAAGCGCAAAGCGATAATTAGCCCTCGCTTTCCGCGAGCCGTCCGTCTCGGCTGCATCTGCCGATCCCGGCCCCTCGAGTATTAACTTTCGCTGCGCCTCCACCCTGAGAGCGGGAGAGAGAAAAACGAGAGAAAAAAAAAAAGAAAAGCCAAAAATGAAAATTTCACCGAAGACACCGAAGCGGTATAAATATCTCGTTAAATTAATTCAATTGTGCCCATAATTATGAAAGTGGTCTAAGTCAAAATTAAAAAAAAAAAAAATGAGTTTATCAGTTATTTCACGCCATATGATTTCAAACGAAATTAATTCAATGTAATTTCGAAACAAAAAATATATGACTTAGACTACTTTCATAATTATGGGCACAATTATATTAAATTATATCCCCGTTTTGACGGTACGAGTGACGAGGAAAGAAAATTATTCCCAGGGTTATCGCGATACCAGGGAGCTCGTCGACGAGAATAAATTAATAGAGACTTCTGATAGGCATAAATTGCAGCGCGTAAGGAATGGCCCGGTCGCCGAGGTGCACTTTGTTATGGGACCCCGTATGGATTTAGTTATGGAAGTCGTTCGTTAGTTTAATGCCTCGCTCGCGAGGGTCGATGTTATCGAATCGCGGCCAGTTTAGCGGCAAAGCGGCGACTCGGTTCTATCTAAGGATCTGGACACGATAGGTATCGTTCCTCCGAACCCTCCTGAACGGGTACCGAGTCCTCGGCGAACCTGTACCTGCAACCAGACTGCACGTAAGCGGCCTCGAACGACTCTACCGGACGGTATCGGACGACACACCTGTCCACCGTCTTTCATGTCACGGTTCCCCAGCCCCCTACACAAGGTGTTCCCCTATTCGCTTCCACCCGGGGCAAGTTTAAATTCCCCGAAAAAAAATATAAAAAAATATATTCAACACTCCCGAGTCCACTGAAAATTCCCGAAAATCAGGTGTTCCAGCCAAGTTCCCCCTGGGCCTCCTAACGTTTTCAAAAATCATTGGAAGCATCATTATAAATGTTTAAAAAAATCCCCCGTCACGACGCAACGATCGCCACCTTTATTAGGGATCTCGAACGCGAGACGTGATCTCTCGTGAAACGTCGCTTAGTGAAAAGAATCCAAAAAGATATGCCGAAGTAAAAATAATCCATGAAAAACGCAGTATCGCTACCTGGGGGAATATTATCTAGGGGGTCCTGCTCAACTAGGCGATCTAGTTCGAAGGTGCTTCCCGAAAGTCGGCCGAGGGGAAGGGCCAATAAAAACGCGAGATTTCGTTCTCTCCTCGGCAAAAAGAAGGCCCCGAGGAAGGGAGACAGACCGGCTGAAAGGGAATCCGGTCTTTCGGCTGGGTCAACCCGAAATGATCCACGCGAGGCTTTCGAAGGAAAACACGGAGCCGCGTTTTGTACCCTCGGATTGATCGGACAAATTGTTCGCCGTCCAGAGATCCAAGGTAGAGAGAGGGACGCGATTAGTGAAAAGAGGATAGAGGGCAGAAGGAGCGGGACGATGATAACACTAAAAAGAGAATGACGGAGGAGAAGAGAAAGAGAGAGAGAAAAAAAAAGGAAGAAAGGGTCCGGAGGCCGAGCCCACGCGGGTGCACCCCGACTCGAAGGTTGCCCCCGACGAGGAGGGGGACGTGGTTTATTTTGGGAAGAGGGGACCGGATCTCGGTCTCTCGGGCCCGAATTAAATCGGGACTCCTGACCCTGAGTGGACCCCGAATATCGGGAACGGACAAAGGACGAGCCAGGATCGTGTCGGGATACGACCGGGACGCGTCCAGGGGTGGCTTCGCTTCCGCCCTCCGAATCGCCTTTTTCCCCCTTTTTTTCCCCGGCGAAGGGTCAAGAATAAATTCAGATAGTGCACGCTATTTCTATGGTGTCCTGCGTATTTCCGACCCGGGACTTTTACACGGGGTGTCCTCCGGAAATAGCACCGATCAATGAGCGGAGCTGCAACCTCGTTACGAGCTAATTCCGGCAGTCGCGGGGCAGGATGCACCATAAATGGCCGAAACGCCAGCGGATCAATTTCCTCGGGGTCCGACTTAAAGAATCCCCCCCCGAACATTCTAGCGATCCGGGGAAAAACCTCGGGAAATCTGCCCGATTATGAAAATATCTTGCACTTTTTTTCATTCCCGCCACGAGTCGATCCCGACCGGTCGGCGCGAAAAGTACGGAGCGAAGTTTGGACAAAGGCACAGGGACAGATGCCTCCTGAAAACCGGCCTTAAGAGCCGCAGATGCCTCTTGCAGGGTCGAGACATCGAATTCGTCGGATAGACGTGAGACAAGGGCTGGATTCGCAGTCTGCAAATCTAAAAAATCGGCGGATCCTGTCAAGCCTCAAACCCGCCTAGAACATGAAATTTTTCCCCCCCAAGCCTTGACACAAATTATGCCAGGCATGAAATTAGAAAATCATACTCCGATATCCAAGGCAGATCGATCGAGCCGAATGGCGAAGAAAAAAAAAAGTTAAAAAAAAATGAGAATCGGGAATTTCCCCCAAAAATTCCCCAAGGGTAGACTATGGCCTTAAAGCCGGGGACGCCGCTTTTTGCAGTCCGCGGGAATCCCCATCGAGACCTCGCCGAGAGTTTCGGGAGAAAAAAGAAAAGAAAAAAAAACACGTCGAAACCATCGTAAATTCGCCGATGAGACGCAGAGATCGGTGCATTCCGTCTCCCCGAGTAGATTGGGAGTTCGGTCGAGTCGCAGATTCCCATAAATCCCATAAATCGGCGGAGAAGGCCTTAAAGGGGAGGGCTCGTTTGGTACGTCGAGAGCTCGGACGCGAAGGTAGGAAAAACCGAGAAAGAGGGAGAGGGATCGTAAATATTCCCCGGGCCGGGAATCGAGGCGACAGATTTGTGGGTCCTCCTTTTTCGGGAGAGCGAGAGAGAGGGAGCGACGCGGACTGAGGGGAGAGGGAGTGAGACGGAGCGACGAGGCGGGTCAATAATCGCGAGGTCCTATCCCCTTTAAGAGAGACGAGGCGTTCAGCGACCAGCGAAGGTTGGGCTAGCCTCGGCTAGGTTATGTTAGGTTAGGTTATGCCGCGCTCTCACGGCTATCGCCCCGACAGGAACCCGGGGAGGCGCGACGACCGTCCTCGGCGTCCTTTCCGCCCCCGTCCGAGGGACGTCGCGTTTCCTCCGCGTTTTCGCCCAAAAGCTATCCCCGAGACATTGCACGGGTTTTTAATCATAATTAAAGGACCACGGGAGAGAGAAAATTTTACAAGACCTCCCTCGACCTGGAGAAACCTCACGAGGAAAAAAGGACTTCATCCCCTTCGTCGGGAAAAAAAAAACAAGGAAATAAAAAATTAGGAATCTCCAGAAACTCCCCCGCGTGCCTTCGTGCCCGTTCTACTCTGGTCTGAAACCCGTGTTGAAGAGAAAAAAAAATTATATATATACACATATATATCACGGAGCCAAAGAAATATTGTATTAATTAAAGGAACGTAAAAAAAGGAAAGTAAATTCGATGAGATATTTTTTTTTGAAATTATGAGTATTTTTTTTTTTCTGTCAAATGATTATTCTTTGTATTAACGAGATATTCCTTTGGTTCAAATGAATTGGTTTATCTTCTCCTCGGTGCAGGGATATCGCGCAATCGCGATTGCGCCGAATACATCTAAGTTAAGGTAAGGAGTCACTTTCACGTCGCGATTAGCTCCCCGACGCGACGAATCGCTCGTTGAAGAAAGCCGGGGCAAGGGGAGGGAAAAGGTGGAGGCGCAGGAGGGAGGGTAGAAAAAGAGCGGACGATAACGTCGGGCTCGGTTACTTCGCTCGTCGGCTGCCCGCCGGTTCCGGTTTCCTTCTTTCGGCTTAGCGGTACCACTCGGGGTCGCC